GCGGCGGAAATTAGGTTTGTACCTAAAAACTACATGCACAATTTTACTCACATATTAAGGACAGAGTTGTTTGGCGTTTACTTCGAGGTGTTTACATTTTTATCCTACAATTAGAAGGGAGTTGTTGGATACTCTATTTGACATATGATGTACATTTCTTTACTACAGATCAGGATTTCACATACAGAATGACAATAGTTATCTTATAGAATGATGCATTATAGATTTTACTTTTTTTAAATTTAGCTATTTGATGAAAAGTGCATCAAATAGCAATGGTCTGCACCTTAACAATGGTTGCTTTGTACTTGGCTTGTATCAATAATGTTGCTTCATCCACGCAAAACATGTCATGAGAACAGATAGTTTTTTAAATGTTTATTTTTTGTTGGATGAGTTTGAGAAGATAAAACAATACATCACGGTTTTCTTCAGACTCGTAGAAAAACTCGGAAACCTTTCTCAACTGCCTCCAAACACGGAACTTCAAAAATGAGTTTTATTGTTTTGGAGGCTCCATCGTCATGGCGACCGTGGAATCGGCTCGGAGGGACGTCTGGCTGTGACGGGGTGCTCGACAATCAGACACCATGACAACGCGGCAGCGAGGCCGTGGATCCAGCAAGCAGACCTGTGAGGACAAGGAGAGAGGGGACCGTCACCATGTTGCAGAGAGGAGGAGACACAGCAAGGTGGTCGAGGGCTGCAGAGGAACACCAGGACGACGATGTTTAGCTTTCTCGTCAAGAGGGTGGAATTCAAATGTGATCAGTTAGTTTTTCAGGATATGCGTTTCTTCAGCTGACGACTGTATCCAAAGATACTTAAAATAACTGCATTCAACCGTGAGGGTACAACCCCAAAAGTGCAGGGATCAGGCAAGTAGGCCGACCGCAACTTCCTCAGATATGCTGATCTAGTTCAAGTGCTCCATTCATGGACAACAGGAACGACAAGTGTTTTCCGTTGTTGAGGTTGATGGTCCAGGCTGCCGCCTGCAGGACAGCAAACCGGCGTGGCCTTTTAGGGATCCGTGCAACGATCGAATAGAGAAACAAAAGATGGCAAAACAATTATTTGCCAAAGTTTGCTGCTTGGAAAAGGGAACGTATACAAAGATCAGGTGAACTCAAACCCCTTTGCTCAAATAACATGCAGAGTTGTGATAGGATTCATGTTTTTAGGTTTAAAAATTTTTGGGAAGAAAGTGAACTAGAATAAGAATAAAGGGATCACTTTATGAAAAAAAAGTATGAGGTTAAGGAATTAATACTGGTCACATAATACAATATGTATATCAGAATAACACTGCAGGTCAAGAGAAGACCCCTCATGTCATTGCAGAGGAATGTGTGTGTATTATCAAGTCTGTCTGTAAAAATCTGAGAATTTCAATATAACAGTAATAATGCTGATGTTTACAGTAATTCTTGATATCTTCACATCAATTGCATCACATCAAATTAAATGGAAATCAATGAAATGAAATATTTCCAAAGTCTCAGCTGTACTTGTTCAAACATGTTGTATATGAGGACGAACACACAAATGCTATCAACTATTTATCAAAAAGGAGCCTCCATTTAACGCTTGACATTGAAAGATCAAACGTTAATAGAATAGAATTAGAAAAAAATGTAGCGGACAAGCAACACAGTTATAGAGCGGTTACAAGTAAATAACAAACTGATGACACAGAGTTCGTGCATATTTTTGGGAAGGTGTTCAGCATCGGAGCTGAAGGCAGCTTCGTGGCTTCTGCTCACTGGAGAATCACAAGACCCTCCGGGTGTTCCATCAGACAGTTAAGAGGTGTGTTTATTGCACCGGTCGTTAACTTATTAATGAGTCAGCATCACCACAAAAACCTGTTCTTTAGCTAACTGGAAGCCTGTGCAAAGATTTAAGAAGGGGGAAAAAAAATATCTTGTAAAATGTATTTATTCCCAGGAGGCCGTTTCAATGTTTCCCAATTCCGGAGATGGAGTCATGAATGATTCTTCTGCATCTGGTCCGGACAGGAGAGCTCAGATCGCTTCTCTGTTTATGGTGATGAAATGCTGATTTCAATTTAAACTTTAGCCCAAAGAGTCTAAAGGTCTTTACCCTCCTGCAGGCCAACACTGCCACCGTGTGGTTTCCTTGATATATATTCTTCCTCATGATGCATCGTACCGAGTTACTCTCACGTTCAGTTTAATGTAGTTCAAGAAGTTTGAAGTCATATGAGCATCTTACAGAAAAATATGAATATGGATTTATATTGTATAATCTCAAATAATGATGAGATGATCTGCGTTGTAGTTTGATCGTATCAAATACTGTGTTGGCTTCTGGCAAGTGATGAGTGGCTTGTGGGTTTTTTTCATTGGATGTTTCTTTTTTCTTGCATAGTAAACATTGTGGTGTTTTTTTAATTAGTAAAAGGAAGAAGGAAGAAAACATGGCGTGGTCATTTTTGTTCATTGTGACATTGATGGAACTGACTCATTATCTTCTCACATAATGTTGTATTACGCCTAAAACAAATGAACACCGTGGCACTAAAGGTCACACATTCAGAACTAAATTATCAGCTTGTCTTGTATTTTTCAATACAGGGATCCAGCTGTTATTATAAACAATATTTTCTGCTTGTTTTGAGATCGGTTTTGTGTCCTTACTAGTTGTGATCAGCCGCTGAATGAAGTTCTTGTGTGGACTAAACTATTTCATGAGCAGCACTAGAGGGAGCTCCTTCCTTGGCCTTGAAAAGCCCATCCAGCTAGTTTCAACCTGAGGCCAAATACTCACATTCATCAGTCGTGATATGAGGGGGCAGAAATACGGTAACTGAAGAACGGTCCTTCAGGTAGAGAGTATTCAAACACACAACGTTTACGGGCAAACATCTGGAGCTCAGTGCTGCTCTGGGGGCTTCTGTCCCTGTTCTCTGACCCCTGTCTCTAAATTTACCAGGACTTGTGTCATCACGTGTGCGTCTCTCATGTTTCTGCTGGCCGATGGCACCAACCGGCTAAGAATAGGAGAGCACTGACACAGATTAACGCCGCCGGTCTCTCTCCCTCTCACTCGTTCTAAAACACTAATTATTTTCCATCCGTCGCTGCGACGACCAAGAACCTCTGTGTCTCGACCTCTATTCGAACAGTGACCTCGCGTGTTGCGGCGTGTTGAAGAACCGGAAACGTGAAGCTATAGTTTGCTTGTTATCGGTGAGATGTTTGCTGAGCTTTGAGGGCGCTGTCGTCCTCCCAGTTTGGACTCTTTTGCCAAGCAAAACCTTTACACTTACGATCCCTACTTTACAAACAGGGATATTCTTCGACAACAACTTTGATCTGTGACTTTTAGCAATGACAGGAGAGGCGAGAGAGTCCGTCTTTGACTTCTAAATGTCACATTTAATCCTGGGATGGAGCAGGATCTCCAGGATATGTGGGGTCGCCCCTCAGAGAGAGAGAGTCGATCCAGCACTTGACCGACCACCCAATCGCAGCCAGCCGCCCACGGCCTGATGTGCAGAGTTACTTAAGGCGAGCTTCGGATGTAAATGTAAATTGACCGTGTTGATGTGAGTCTGTGTGTCGGGGGCAGACAAGTTAGAGTCCAGTGTTTGAAAAGTTACAACAGTTCCTTTCAATACTTTTTACTTCGCTGAATGCCAAAACCAACCCGCCTCGCTGCCGCAGGACATGCGAACAGATGAAATTGAGGCTAAGACGCACCTGTCAAAGACACATCATCCAGAGAACCCTTTCAGTCCATGTCCCTACCTGGTGTTGTTGTCATTTTCAGTCGTACCACGTGATCGTCCTCAGCAGAGAAATTCACCTTTTTTTCTGAGCTTGAGGTAAAAAGCTGCTCCCCTGATTAGGACTCTCTCAAATGACATCCTATTTTTCCCAAAGTCAGAATGTAATGCTGGACGTGAACAGCTGAACAAATGAAGTAAGTTTACCCACTGAGGTGAAGAGCTTTGTGACTTCTCTGATAAGCAGAAATAATTGTGCAGAGCGAAACACCATGAGGTCAGCGAGCGGAGAACAACATATCTGCACTCCGTCCCAGATAGCCGCGGAGCGCAGGAGATAAGTCTTATCTTAACCAGTCCGCCTGTGAAAGCCAAATGGACCTTCATCAAGGTACTAAAGGAGGAAGGGTTGTGCACTGTGGAGACATTACACCGGGCCCCCCAGTGACCACAAGGCCGATGGTTACCTCTCCGTGTTATAAAACGTTGTTTTATAGCTGTCAGGTGTTTGCCAGGTACAACAAACCATGAACATCGTTGCAGAGTAAGCACGCTAACATTAGCTGATAGCCCAGAATAGAAAGCAGGGCTGCACACTTCCAGCCTGTCTGTGAGTGTGTAGCAGGCTGTCCGTCATCCGTCATCTGCAGCGCCAAATAGTGAGGACCTTTATCATTAAATAATCCAAACACTCCCCAAGACAAATGGATTACATCATCAGATAAATCAAATGCTGCTCACACTGTGGTTTGCTTCAATATTATAAAAAATAAGTAATATTCTGAAATAGATTTTGTGTGGAAAATGACTTTGGCCTAAAAACTGTAAATTACGTGTGTCTCAGCCTTATAAGTTAGTCAAATAAACATTGTAGCCTACATGCAATATGTGAAACAAAATTATAATAGTCCTCTATAAAAAGCATTTAGCAATAACAAGAGTCAATGTTTATAAGTCCTATTGTGTATGTTTTAAAAAAGAATAAAGTAGTGCAAAGAGTTTGGGGATATCGATGATTAATGCAACGGGTTTCTTTTATACACTTACAACAAAAACAGTGTGTAACTATAAAATATACTAACTATCAAACAGACTGTATCCTTTAAACAGACTAGTCTCAAAGCAAGGAAGTATTGGCCGTCTATTGAACATATCCTTCTTTTTAAACTTTAAAATAACTTTATAACGGACGGAGTTGTGCTCGCGGTGGAAGGAAACGCCGTGTTGCTCAGCGGCCTCCGGGCAGCAGACAGCGTGAGAAGAGGGGGAGGAAAAAAAAACTCCTGTGACGTCACACACTTTTGAATTCAGTAGACCAAGATGGCGGAGGTGCGCGGGTTGAGGAGCCGAAATGCCTTCGAGCCCAACTGCAAAAGCCGAGTCACAGACGAAGGTAACCCGTCGTCGGTTTTGTCAGGCGGATGTGTGACAGTGGACTGAATGAGGGGCGCGGGGGGGTTAAACAAGCGGACCCGTTGTTTGCTTCGCCGCTCTTTGTCTTTCTGAGGGGTAAACTCGCTTTTCCGTTAGCTCCTGTTTGGAGTTGGACGGGGGGGAGAGACTGCGGTGTCGCGGAAAATGTTGTGACCCCTTTTTTAATGTGTCGCCTGAGAATGCAAGTTCGCCAATCTTTGGTTTAAAATCCCCTTATGTGGTAGAAACCTGTTCCCGGCGCGTGGTTTTCACTTCGTCAGAACGTATTTTCCCTCGTTAACTTAAGCTGAGAGCGTTTGCGTGTAAGAACCGATTTGTGGGATCCGTGACGAGATCCTCCTCAACACCTGTCCGCTGGTCGCTCCGTCCGGGCCGTCACTTTCACCTGTGGCCCCCCGGCGGAGGCTCCGTCCCGTCTCCCGTTCGGTCCAATTAAATTAACGTTAAACATAACACGTTAATCTTCTCCCGGGCACAAGTAACTCGGGTATTTTTAAATGGTCTATTATTAGTCCGCTCGGTTCTGCGAGGCCAGTCTCACCGAACATAACTTAATACACCGCGAGCGCATTTTACTGGAACGAATAATCACAACACATGGAAGGAAGTGACCCGTGGTCATCGTTCTTTGAATCTTTATTAACTTTAAACGTGCTACAATGAGTAAGTTTCACATGTGATGATTTGTTTTAATGTATCTGGATCGAGGTTTTAAAGCGATATTGGGGGAATACGGCTGCTGCCTGCAGCCTGTTTTGTAGTTTGAGTTAATTTGACTAAAAGTCTGCAAAAAATTGCAGAAGGATTCATGTACTTTCAAACTGCTTTTTAGTTGTTGTCGGTCGGTCGGATAAAATAACACATTTGAAAATATAACCTTGGGCTCTCAGAACTTTTGACCCGTGGTGATTATGTTTTGCCCCCTAAAAGAAAGGAACCATATCCCTTCCTCTCCCACGGCGAGTTTACAGCACACCTGCTGTTATTGTAACAAACGGTAGATTCTCAGTCTCCACAAGGTTCATCGCTGAGATACGATCTCACCTTTATGTCTACTTTCATACAGGCCGCCAAACTCTGTGGCAACAACGTTCACCCACTGCGGCTGCTCTCAACCTGCACTTTGTCCTCACTGACTCCCAATCGGACCGATTGAGAACATTTGCCCCCCCCCCCCCCCCCCCCACTTGACTCTTGTCCAGGGAGGCCGTGTCAGGTTGTCTGGACGTGTGAATGGAAGTCAGTGTGACGGCATCTTAATAGACTGCGGTGGACAATTTGTCCGCTCCACAGTGTTGTTGACATGGCGTACGATAACCAGATAGTGGTCACTTTAAAGATTAGTTTTCTAAATAATGAAAGAAAGTATCGCCTGAATGGGGGGAAAAAGGGTGTTGAAACCCTGCTTGAGAAGCTTTGGCATTAATAATCCGTCTTGCAACAGTTGAGAAATGATTTTTGCACAAATGTCTCAAGGTTTAAACTGTCTATTCTTCATTCCCAAAGGTTCACCAAACACCCCCCACCCCCTCTTTTTTTTTTTTTTTTTAAACAGGAGATGATTCTCCTCATGAAAGTAGGAAGGCACGGCGGGTGCAGGGAAGCGGCCCGTGGCCTCAGACTGAGTGCAGGAGTCTGCGGAAGTGCAGAGCTGATTCGGGACGCGGAGCTGATACGATGGACTCGCTTGCACTCCGTTCTCGGTTAAAGATAGACCCGCACTTGTACGAGTGACGCACTGCACAAAACCCCTCTTATCCCACAACGACTTTGTGTGTTTTAGTGCACGCGGTGCAGAAAAAGGTGTAGAAGCCAGTTAACATCTGCTCCGTCACAAGATAAGAGGTTTAGTTCCCCCCTCGTTTTCTGCGAGCCGAGGCGAAACTCCACTTCATCGTGGTGTTTATATCGGCAGAAAGCTTCCTTGCGTGCTCATTGTGTTTGGTCTCGCTCACACACACACACACACACACACACACACGTTGTGTCCTCGCTGTCCAGGCAGAATAGCGTCTTTGTGTGGGACCCCTCTGGACTCCATGAGAGCCTGCGCCGCCTCGGACTCATGAAATCTGCAGCGCTAATTTGTGCGCGGAGCAGATTACTGTAACGGCTCCGCCGAGCATGGCGGCTTTTCCCTTGTGGGGATTTGCAGGGACACTCGGTAGAGCTTGTGGACGCCCCATTTCCAGTTGTCCTACTGAGGAACTCCCTGTGGTCCCCCATCCCACGTCCTTGAAGTGTCCCGGTGCTGGTCCCCGTACTCAGCATTACCACCACTCGTATATTTCAAATAAAATCTGTGTGGAAACAAAAATGCATTATAGTAACTGAAATCTATATTCTACTCTGAGGTTTGGAAGAAAATGACACAGAATGAGTGTTGATGTCTTATCAAAGTCGTGAACATGGCCTTGGTCCAGCTGGTGCTTTATTCATCTGGTTTGTTGTTGTTTTGTTGTTGGGTTCTGAGGCCAGCAGATGAAAATGAATTCCAGGGTGCGTCTTTCTTCACATGAGTAATGGACTGAGATGTTTGCCTGGGCCGTGGTGGTGCCGAGCAGTCCGGTCCTGCGTGTCCGGCAAGGATCGTAATGAAAGGAATAGGTTGTGCTCATTTGATTGTGGTGAGAGACTGTGGTGCAGATGGAGAGTCGTTTTAAAATATTTGCCTACCGGTTCATTGTCGGCCATTTGACCAATAGATCGTCCCAATCCTTCACCAGGGATTCATTTTTTACCTGGATCGGATGGACAAAAATATTTAACAGATCTGCAAACTCGATTAATCTGAATGTAAATATTTGTTCAAGCAAATGGATTTTTTAATTATTCTTCATTGGGGTCTGAACTATTTAGAAAACTGGGTTGGCTATACACAGTAAACCCTTGAAGATATTTCACAATATTAGATTCCCTTTTTGAAATGCATTCTAGTCAAAAGTAGTCGATTCCTCGATTGTCAATTTCCAGTGTGGAATAATGCGAGCTACTGGTCTGCAGCCGTCGCCGTTTGTGGTTCAGCCCACTTGCTTGGACTCCGTTGTGTATTGGTGACAGGAAGCGCTGTAACTTTCACGTTGTGGAGGCAACATCCATCTAAAGAACGCTTTCACAGAAACGGCTCAGAAGGAGACTGAAAACGCTGCCCCACTAACTTTTCTTTTCTTTTTTTTTTGCTGTCCCTTTTGTGATTTTCAGCTATTTTTGAGCTTGACCTAGATGGGCCGGCCCGAGTGGGTGAATGTATTTAGCCCAGAAGAGGATGCTGGAAAGATCTACAACAAAACCGCATGTAGGGCGAATTCTGAGCTCCCGTAGCAAACAAACTAATGAGGAGCAAACTGGGGCGTTGTTTTAGATCTTACCACATAAACCCGCGTCCACATGCGGCGCCTCCTCACTTTGCCCGCACGCAGCACGGTGTCATCTAACCAGCGTAATGTAACCCGTTTGTCTCTGTGTTCGGGTCCCTGAAGGCTTGAGTGGTGTGGAAGATGTCCCCCCTTTTCGGCACAACGTGAAGCCCCCTTTGGCCGCGCCCGGAGACCCGGAGGAGACCCCGCGCACCGCCGCCTCGACCTCGGGCAAAAATGTCCGCCTCGCCGCCTCCCCCGACGCGTTTCTGGAGGGAGAGGTAAAATGTACTTCCTGCTGTATCGCTGCCTACAAAATCACAATGTTTACCATGTGGCGCGATGTTTTTCATTTTACAACAATTCTGCCATATTGCGTTTCAAATGTCGTATGTCGCATTCTAGCTTTCCCCCCCCCACACACACACACACACACACACACACAAACTCAGCGGTCTGATTGCTGATCTCAGCTTTGGCTTTCTCCGTTTCCTGTTTTCTCTGTGAAAGCTGCTGGTTCATCATTGCTACGGCCTAAATGCTTTCCCCACTGATGGATTGCTAACTCATGTCTTCAGGCGGTGGAGGAAGAGGCGGAGGAGGAGGGAGCGGAGGGGGCCGCCAGGCCCATCCAGGTGGTCCTGGCCAATGAGGACGAGCACAGCTTTGAGCTGGACGCCGCGGCGCTGGAGAGGATCCTGCTGCAGGACCACGTGAAGGACCTGAACGTGGTGGTGGTGTCCGTGGCCGGCGCCTTCCGCAAGGGCAAGTCCTTCCTGCTGGACTTCATGCTGCGCTACATGCACCGCCAGGTGAGACCCAACGCCGCACATACGCTTTATTTAAGAAGCTGCATTATTCTGTATCGTCTAGAACACAGTGAATAATTTTTATTGATATCAAAAATGTGCAATTGGATCAAGTATCAAAAAGGGAAATCTATTTAAATGGGAACTTACACAGTAAAAGTACTTACACAGAATTAGATTGTGAAATGCGCCTGCTGATGGTGTGTTCACAAGATAATATCCCCCTCACTTTAATATTGTGTAACACAGACAATAGGGCTTGTGAAAACAGGTCTGCTGGATGAACAACTACAACAGATGAGATGAGCACCAGCTCTGGTATGAGTGTCTTAGTGACGAGAAGGGACGAGCGCGTCCTGCCTGGGCTCATCCCCAGAAACCGTCTCCACCGGGTGACTAAGCAACTGGCATCCATGCAGTGGTTCAACCGGTCTCCGCCTCCTGGGAAGGTTTACGTCCTCGTACTTCGCTGTCATTTTGGGAATAATAATAAAATAACCGTTTCAGTCCAGTTTGCCTGTGTGGTTGCTGGCCATTGAAATACATCTTTAAGAAAGGGCACCCTGTACATTACTTACACACACACACTCTTGAGCTCATCCAACAACTGTTTGTCTCAACAACAACTAGTCCTTCACGAGCAGCCAGGATCACCTTACACTCACTTGCACACACACTTAAGGGCGTAACGAGGCAGGAATGTTTCCGCCACAGCTGTAATGAACGTGCACATTAACGCGTGTCGGACCAGATCTGCACATGCTCACCTTCTGAATGCTGCTATTGTTTCTTCAGACGGTGGTTCTTGATATTCAGTTACATCCAGAGGTGGATGCTTCGACCGTCTGTCGTGCGTTCATTTGTGTCTGTTGTGACAGCTGAATATTCTCATGTATCATCTATTCATAACCTGCTGTGTTGTGAGATATTTCTGCACTGACGTCGTATCGTACACGCAATCTGTGTTGGTGCGTACTTTGCCTTGCAAATCAGTTCTTTGCTCGTTAGGTGAGGCTTGTTTACGCATTTCCTGTTAGTGGACGGGGGATCTCCTGACACGTCAACTGGAAATAACAAATGACAAGGGCACTATGTGCAGCTTTAAAAAAAAAATCAACTTTATGTTGGATGGGCAACTTTTAGTGATGCATAAAAAAAGACAAATACCCTTTATGGATAAACATTCCATTGAATCCCATGTTTTCTTTCAGCCTTCATACTCAAGCTGAGGCTTTGCGCTGCCACATGTCTGTTTCTGTGAGAGACTCATTCCAATCAGACCGGTAGAACTTGATAGTGGATTATTTAATCCACTATCAAGAACCAACCGAGATTTCAGACCTTTGCTCGAGTGTAATAATCTCCCCACTTATCCGATAACGTTATCAACCAACAATATATTGGTAAACAACAGGTTAGTTTTTAGGGCTGGTGGAATCGCCTGAATCCATTCTTCCCCCTTTTCCTATTTTGGAAATACTGTGATCACAGACAACTTCCCTTAAGCGAAGGAAAGTAAGATGTCTTGAATCTTGGAAAAACAACTTTCTTTCACCACTGCTCCTCTTGAAAAAAAGAAAAGGTGGTAATCTCTCCTAGATTACAACATGTACCTCCCATTCCTCATGCCTCATCTGACCTCTTCTTTCCTCTCTTCCTTTCCTGCCCTCGCCTCCTCCCCCTCTCCCTTTGGGTAACAGGGCGAGTCGTGGATGGGAGGTGACGACGAGCCCCTGACCGGGTTCTCCTGGAGAGGAGGCTGCGAGAGGGAAACCACGGGAATTCAGATCTGGAGCGAAGTCTTCGTGGTGGACAAGCCCGACGGCAGCAAGGTGGGCGATGAAGCTCACGGTGTGAACATCTGTAGCCCCCCAGGAGGCAGCGCTTTACATCTGGCGTGTCTCTCAACAGGTTGCCGTGCTCCTCGTGGACACTCAGGGAGCGTTTGACAGCCAGTCCACCATTAAGGACTGTGCCACCGTGTTCGCCCTCAGCACCATGACCAGCTCTGTGCAAGTGAGGCTTACGAGCAAGCGTGTTGGCCGCTTCTTTTAAGTGTCCGACCATCATGCCTCACCTTGTGTTTGCAGGTGTACAACCTCTCCCAGAACATACAGGAGGACGACCTGCAGCATCTGCAGGTTGGTGTCGCTTCTCCTTGTTGAAGGAAGAAAAAAACGGCACCAAAGTTACAGAAGCTCTTTTTTTTACCTCGTCATCGTTTTGTTTCCCTCTTAGCTTTTCACAGAATATGGTCGCCTGGCAATGGAGGAGATCTACCTGAAACCTTTCCAGGTACAGACTGACCATGGGTGTTAATGCTAAATAGTCTTGAACGTGCATCATGTCTGTAAAATCATATTAAATTATATAATTGAGAAAACTAGTCAAATAGTAACGTAACCATGTGGTCAATCACCATTTGTTTTCAGTCACTGATGTTTCTGATCCGGGACTGGTGTTACCCTTATGAACACAACTACGGACTGGAAGGAGGCAACAACTTCCTGGAGAAAAGACTCCAGGTGAGAATGTCTCTGCACATAGTCGCTGCTCCTGTGAGACGCACCGCTTCTCTCACCGTCTCAAAGAACCGACTTTCCCGCTGAGTCAATTGTCGTCTGCCGAACTCAGGTGAAGCAGAACCAACACGAGGAGCTGCAGAACGTGAGGAAGCACGTCCACTCCTGCTTCTCCAGCATCGGCTGCTTCCTGCTGCCCCACCCGGGCCTCAAGGTGGCCACCAACCCGTACTTTGACGGCCGGCTGAAAGGTGAGGAGCCGCGAGCGTCGGGGCCAACGACGAGGATCAGCGGCGGCTGAAGCGCGCTGGATTCACGTGTGCGTGTTCTGTGTGTTTTTCAGACATCAATGGTGATTTTAAGAAGGCTCTGGCCAAGCTGGTGCCTCTCCTCTTGGCCCCAGAGCGCCTGGTGGAGAAGGAGATCGGAGGCAACAAAGTCACCTGCAGAGACCTCCTGGAGTACTTCAAGGTGCTGCAGCGTTTCACTCCGATTCAGTCTGATTTAAAACAGGCGTCCGCCTTTCTGCCATCAGATATATAATCTTGCCAAGCTTTAAACTTTCCATTTATGTAGTAACTGAATGGACACGTGACCGGTGTGTCCATTCAGTTAGGATGCAGATTAGCTGGCTTCATAGTACCTGGAGACAGTGGTGTAACTGCTATGTTACCTTCCCGCAGGCCTACATAAAGATCTACCAGGGGGAGGAACTGCCTCACCCAAAGTCCATGCTGCAGGTTCGTCACCGTCGGAGGCGTCTCGCTGAAGTACGGCTCCTCCCTCTTTTAGCTTTTTATCTTGAATCTCATGGTTTTCTGTTTGTCAGGCGACCGCAGAGGCCAACAACCTGACCGCCGTGGCGGGAGCCAAAGACATGTACGGCAAGAGCATGGAGCAGGTGAGGACGCGCTTGTCTTCCCGGGCATCGTGAACTCTTGCGAAATGGCCCCTCGCTCACACCCCGCCCCCCACCCACCGCACCCCCCCCTCCCTCATCCCCCTCAGATCTGCGGCGGGGACCAGCCGTACATCGCCCCGGCCGACCTGGAGCGCTGCCACGAGGAGTTCCGCGAGCACTCGGTGGGTCACTTCCGCTCGGTGAAGAAGATGGGCGGCGAGGAGTTCTGCCAGCGCTACCAGAGCCAGCTGGAGGCGGAGCTGGACGAGGCCTACGGCAACTTCTCCAGGCACAACGACGGCAAGAACATCTTCCACACGGCGCGCACGCCCGCCACGCTCTTCGCCGTCATGTTCGTCACCTACGTGGTGTCCGGCGTGACGGGCTTCGTGGGCCTGAGCGCCTTGGCGTCGCTGGCCAACCTGGCCATGGGCGTGGCGCTGCTGTCGCTCTGCGCCTGGGCCTACGTCAAGTTCTCCGGAGAGTTCCGGGAGGTGGGGACGATGATCGATCTGGTGGCCGAGACGCTCTGGGAACAGGTGGGTCCGCGACAGGAAGTGGTTCATTTCAAATGTTTGGACGAAAACCGATACGACTTGTGTGTAATTGTGTATTTTCTAAGTGATAAATCTTAGTTCTTTTAGTTCCTGCAGCGCTGAGGGCACTTTGTTCAAATGGAAGATTTGCCAATCAATTCATTTACTTCCTGGTTAATAGCCACGTGTCAGCTGGTGTGTGGTTTGATTTCTTTTTTACACTTGAGCAAAGGTTAAGAGTTAAGTGATTTACATTTAAATAGCATTTTCCTTTCTCCAAATCAATAACCGTATGAAGTGTGTTGTTTACTGCGTTTTATTATTTGTGCATTTGCTGGTGTTTTTAAAACCAGAAAAATCAGAATCCTTCCATTTTTTTTTTTCTTTTATCCACTGAATGTTTGTTTGTCTTCACGTCCCGTCGTCAGTCTCTCAAACCCTTTTTAATCACCTTCCAGGTGCTCCATCAGCACCATCTTTTATCCGCCCCATCAGCCTCGGCTCGGGTTTCTCATGTATTTGTAGTTTCATGTCTCCTTTGACGTCTTCCTCCCTCTGTGGTTAGAAAGGTGAGGTTCCTTTCCTCTTCTGCCTGCTGTTCAACATCATTTCCTTATTTTTATTTTTGTTGTGTTCGCTTAAACATCTACCCAGTTTTCGCATCTTTTTTTTAAAATTATTTCTCCTGAATTTCTTCCCCAAACATCTGGATTGGATTGGATTGCCCCCCCCTCCCCTTCCGGTTGGCCGCGTTCCTTGTTTTTAACTCTCCCGTTCCTCCCTGCTGTCCTCTCAGGTGCTTTCCAAACTTTCAGAGCCTGTCAGGAGCCGCCTGGCTCTCCCCGTCTCTCTCGTCCCTTCGTCCCCGCTGGGACGCAACGCTCTGTCTCCTCTTCACAACAACAACAACTACGACTACAAGAAGATGAACTAGCTGCTGACCGGATTTACAGACTGTTGAACTTCCTCTTTTGTTTTTTTGTTTTTTACACAAAAGTTCCTGCAGTTTGCTGCCTTTTCGATGCTTGAGTTTCAGTCCAATGGTGCTGGACACTGACGGGCCGGAACCGCCTCAGGATGTAAAAGCTGGGACGTCTGCCCCAACGGTTGTTAATAATCTTGAATGCCGGATTCCTTTTTTATTTTATTTTTTGTAACGTTTATGTTCCATTGATTTGTGACTCTTGGGTTGTTTCTGTGACCGCTTTGTGTTCTAGTTTCTTTATTTTACCTCCCATACCTTTTCATTTCAGTGTCTTGTCCCCCCCTGTTTTCTAGAGGCCTTTAGAGGAGTTAACGCATGTTCTCACAAAGAATCCTTCTCTTCTCCTGCAGATCTTAAAGCCACTAAGTGAACATTATATGGAGGACAAGGTGCGACAGACGGTGGTGAACTCCATCAAAGCCAGCTTGACAGAACAAGGCTCGCAGCAGACCAAGTTAAAGACTCGCTGACGCACCTCCCCCGTGGTGTCCCCCCTCCCTCCCCCCTCCGCTCAATGTGTCCAATCCTAGAACTGTGGAACTAGTTCAACACCAAAGCTGACCCCCTTTTATCCCTGCTCTTCATCGCCCCCCAGTGCCTCAAAGCCAAAACTGGAGCTAAAGGACCTTCATCTTCAATGTGCCATGCTGTGATCTTTTGTTGTAGGCGCACGCACACACACACACACACACACACACGTATGCTGTAAGAGGACTGCACTTGCTTCAGGATTGAGCTGCAATTCAGGGAAAACTGACGCCGCTGTGGGCGGCTGCTATCGGCAATGGATGCAAACTGAAACACACTTTCTGTGCATTTAACCGGTGTTGTCTTACGAGCGAGACGAGCTCGCTTTACTTTCTCTTCATCCCGTTTATTAACCTTTCCCCAATAAGCACAAGTGACTCGTCGAATAACAGGGAGGCCGCCGTTAAATTGTTTCAACATAATCAGGAAATGTCCCTGTCATGAACGAGGTAATTCTCCAGTTATTTTCCGGAGAATCTTTCTACTTCCTCCGACAGGCTACTAGATGTCCCGCCTGTCTCCAATCAATCATTCGGTTTGTCCCAGTGAGCTCAAAACCATGTAACTCGAGGCCACGCTGGGCTGCGGTTTCTTGCAGGCGTCTGCGCGTCTTTCTTCCCTTTAGTATTTTGTGATATCCTGAAGAGAACTGTAGGGATCTGATCTTTTGACGTGTTTTTAAATTAGGGCTGATGTCGCGTTGGACCCTCTGCATGGTGTTAAGCGCTACTGAGTCGTAGCATGAACATAGCGTACAGCTTTTTAGAGCCACGGTGTCTTTAGTCAAGTAGCCTGAGAGGACGGTCATCTTTTTATTAAGCTGCACTGGTTCTGAAAGTTTCCCCAGTTTAAGACGTTCCTTGCTTTTAGGAGCCTTATTTCGTTGGAGAAAGATGTCTGCTTTTAGGTCAAACTCCTATCACATCTTTAAAGGATCAGTTTAACATTTGGGAAACTTTGTTTTGCGCTATGCTTTGTGCAACTTTAACATTTGTCCACCTCTAGGCTTAGCTGCTTCAAATTTAAGGGACAAAATGAGCGCAGCATAAATCCAGATCTCTCCGATGCTGAACTTTTTCTATCAAGTTTGTTACCTGACTTTTTTTGGGGGGGAGGGAGAGAATAGGGCATTGATTCTATCCATCATCTCACACTGTACAGTCTCTCTGATCGCGTAAACAAATCGAGCTTGATGACATATTTAAATAAACGTTGTGTACATTTCATAGTGAATCAGTTAACTGGCTGTTTTCTTGATCAATTTAACCATCTGGTTTAGGAATTGCTGCTGAAGGGTTTACGCTAGTTCATTTCCTTTACACGGATGTTAATAGAAATGTTGTGAATCTCTGGATTCTGATTGTGACAATAGCCTGTCTGCCTTTTTAAAAGGTATCTCTGCTAATTTATTTTTGAATAAATCATCAATTCAATTACTTTCTCATTTCTGGGGCGGACTAACGTTACGTTTTATTTATTATCCATTTCTAGGATCTACGCGGCATTATTGAAGAGAAGCCCTCGTTCTTAGAGTTAGAGCTCAACCAGCTGCGTTTTTCCATGCCGATCACGGAGGGGTTTTCATGGCTGCTCATTCTGCACGTGAGGGAAGAAGCAGTCGCATTCCTGAATTCAGAAAAGAGCAGTTTGCATCCAGATGTTTCGTCAGTTGCTGATTATCATAAATGACCAACAGGAGGAGCCGGTTTCTTAAAAAAAAGCTTTATTTTACAATGTAAACTGCAAGATGGGTTACATTTAAATGGTCCACAACCCCCAAAACAAAGTACGGAAGAACAAGCGTGGGACACAGCTGGTATTATGACTTAAACAAGAGCATCAAAAATATAACTGCAGGACGCTTTCATCTCAGCTAGAGCCAAGTGGTAAAGATTTAAAAAAATATCTACTTATACAAAACCTGTTCAAATGAGTCTTCTAATCTTACAAATGGCTCATCTGGATCCTTGTGGTTTAAATGCACTTAAGTCGCTTTGGATAAAAGCGTCAGCTAAATGACACGTAGCGTAATCTCACATCATTCTTTCAATTATACATTGCAGAAACTTGGGAAAACAACTTCATGTTGGCAAGAAAATCGGTTTTCAGATACAACTTCATCTAAAACTAGACACCCCCCCCGCTTCAAGATTCAGCAGTTAGGGGCCCAGATCGTCTATTAAAACCCTGTCTTGAGGATTCCTCTTTACATTCTTAGAATATACAGTTTCGTAATGACTTCACACACACGGCACATTAACTAGCAGTTTGATGGGTCATGACTTCCCTTCAGTTTCCCTGTGTTGTCTTTTAATGTTTTTGGCTTGATCAGAGTTAAAGAGCTGCAACAGTCCAGAGTGAAATGAGTAACTTCAAGGATCGGTAAACATGTAGGTGAGTCGAGCGGCGGAATCGAAGGGCCTCATTTATTTAAAAAACTATTTACACAACTTAATATGATTTGTCAAGAATAAAGTAAGAAATGTATAACTTAACACTACATTGAAACATTGTTCTATCGTATTTTAAAACTGAGGCTCCTGGTGGGAAGACGACGAGTCAACCAATGATTTATCCACACTTTTGGTTTTTGATAAAAACGCCTCAGACACAACTAGTTTTGATCAACGGCATCGAGGAAAACTAAATATTCTGTAACATGTTTCAGCTTATGTGTCCGAGGTGGCTGGATGAGACGATTCTCTACTGTACACTTGGGAGGACGGCGGTCTTCTGACCTGTTGTCCCCACTGAAGTAAAAGGCAGGGTGGGGTTGTGGGGGTCTAATCTACATCTGCTGGAGACTTTAGATCATGGCCCGGAAAGCAAAGGACACCGCGGCGCCCAGCGCCAGGCCGAGGGACAGGAAGAAGGCCATGATGGCCCCCGCCGTCTCCGCCTCATGCGGTGGCACCTTCCTGTACGGAGACAACGGAGGGACAAAACTCATTAGGGATCAGTGGTTCAACACTAAAAAGGTTTGTGTGTGTTCAGCCAGGCAAACGTCCCCCCGGGGGCTTTCTGGTAAGAAAAGACTCACTCACGTCCAGACCAGCAATAACAGATTTAACACAAACATTACCCACAATGCAACTAGAAATCCCCAAGACCGTGACACAGACTTTTTGAAATGTGAGGTCTAAAGGTGTTTCGGTTCAGGTGAGCTCGAGTGTGCGGCGCGTTTTTCTTACTTGGGTCCGAAGCACATGCAGAGGCTGGCCAGGTATCCGTTGGAGAAGGCGAAGACGATCATGAAGATGATGTACAAGGCGTCGTGGGCAAACCACACGGGGAGGGAGTGACGAGGCTGGACGTTACACAGCATGAAGAGAGGGACGAAGACGACCCGCAGGCCCACCATGACAGGAAGCCACACGCTGTCTTTACCCGGCTGAGGGGGGACGAGAGACATTAACTACAGGGACAGACTTTACTCGTTTGTAAATGTGTTGCATCATGTGTTTAAAGAGAACAAAAAACAAACGCTCCGTGAGGCCGAATGGGACTTTGTTACCGGGTGGTGAATTGAAGTTGCCGTTGTTAAGGGCATTAATGATTTATTGGCAGCGCCGAGCAGTTCAATAACTTTCAAAATCCCCTCTGACACCAAATTCATTTCCGTTTTTTCCAAAACAAACTCCTCCATTCCAGAACGGACTTTGTTGCCTTTATTTTGCCTCCATTCCCTTAGTGACTTATATTTTCCCTTCATGACTCAGAGATTTATTCATGCGTAAACATTTCATGCGGCCAAAAGCTTCTATTAATGTATCAACAAGTGTGTCTGTTCTTTGTATCGCCGTCCGATCGCAGCAAATATTTGGATGTGGTCATTTTAAATGGACTCTATCAAGCAAACACACACAAACTAAATAAATAACTGAGCTCTGAATTTAAAGAGCAGACCTCCAGAGACGGTGGGAGAGCTCCGGCCTCTCGTGGTAAGAAGGTGTCACTTGTGTTTCGGCAGCGTCACTCACCCACATGCAGACGGCCGTCAGGCTCCTGCCGGCCCAGTCCATCAAGTTGAAGAGGAGGAAACACGACACGGGGATGAAGTACGTTTCTGCAGAGAAAGAAAGACAAACTGCTTGGAAAAAAAAAAAGGAAATTCAACCTCGGTGGGCTGAAAAGTGTCATCCTAAGAAACGTCTCAAACTGCGTGTGAACCCAAACAAAACTGCTGCAAAGTGTCAAAGTGCACTAGTTACTTCCACAGGCAACAAGCGTCAAGTCTCACTTGGCGTCAACGCGCTGAGAGGGCGAAGTGATTTCATGACACGGAGACTCACCCCAGGCTCCTCCGTCCGCTACCGTCGACCTCACATCCACGGTTATGGCCGGGAATGTCCCGATGGTGATGGTGAAGATGAAGCACACCGACAGGGCCATCACCCAGATCTGAGTCGCACACAAACACAATCAGCATCTGGCTACAGTTACTACCCTGCAGATAGCCACAGTGGATGTTCTGAACGGTGAGAATGCGTTTCAGCACATCGCTTCACCTGTTTGAAGATGTTTATCACCGACACGGTGGGTGGGGCCTCTTCCTCCCCCAGACTCACCACCGGCCTTTTCTCCCCGCTTTCTGAAAAACAGACCAACACCGTCTGTCAGCGCAGCGCTCGAGTGACGCATGGAGGTTTGAGCCCACCGACACGCAACATTCTTATGGTTGGGTCGCTCGCATAGGGTCCCCATTAAAATGTCACACACTAGTAATTAACAGACCGTCACGGCTCGAGTATCCGCCAAAACACAGACTGAAACAAACACTGTCAGGGGGTTTGGCCTCCTTGGTCAGTGTGCAGTAAAGAAAGCAAACCGTCGGGTGTGAAGGCGACACCAAGGCTACAAATAGTAATATAATAATAGCACATAGTGACTTGAGATGGAAATCGCCACGTTGTCCATTAGATCAAACAGTCGTGTCCGTAACATAAACATGGGATTTTTTAAGTGTACGTTGAGGACCAAAAGCACACTGTGTACCTTTTTTTAGTAAGTCCATATTGTTCTCCTCGTCAGCAGAGGGTGCGGATCCGTGGCTCGCCATGTAGAACTGGAAGAACTCCTGTTAAGAAAAACCAACATCCCCAATGAGGCGAGTCCACCGGGACAAAACACCGAGGACAAGAGGATCGAGGGACGTGCCATCCAGCGCACGCGACTAGTGCAGCATCACTTAAATCTGAACGCACGCAGCACTTCTCTGAAGCCTAATGAGTATTTTTCAAAAAAGTTCAACGTTAAGGAGAGCAAAATGAGCGCAAAATCCTTTGAAAGCGGTTCAAACAACAAATACCTCGTGATAAAAAGAATTGAACCCGGTTTCCTTCACAGAAGAGGAGGACTTACCATCTTGGGGAGAGCGATGTAGGACCCTATGGCCAGAAGAATGACGAAACAGGCTGTGATGAAGTAACCAAAAGCTCCATCCTCCAGGTCCGATCCGGCTGAACACAACAACAACAATCATCACTTTCTTTCTTCATACCAGTATTGATTTAGCACAAATATTTTTCAGAATGGTAGTATTCCTCTTTTTTGAATTTCAGCTGTTTGATTATGTGAATGCACCATGGTTGAGAGTTATTTTCATCTCTATGATGTCATCATAGTGCTTGTTTTACCTACATTTTAAAAACCTAGCTGTACTTAGTGTGTGGCTGAAATGAGACAGAAATGAAGGAGGATCAACAAAGCTGGAACCAGTAAATCATTTGTAAACGGGTCACTGATGATCAAATCAGCATCCAGTGACAGAAGAGGAGACGTACAGGCCAGAGCGCAGATCATGGAGAAGGCGGCGAAGGTGCCGGCCAGCCCCTGTCCGCTCATGATGGGGGTGGTGTAGGAGGCGGGCAGTATTCCTGCCAGGCCAAACAGACTGCCCTGAAGAATCGCCCCGAACGCTGGGAACGAGAGCAACGGGTCAACAAAACAAACATCCTTTCTGAAAACATGGAACAAAATCGTTTTACATAACTGCAAAATAGCCGTTTTATTTCTCTCCCTTTACAAAGAGGGCGCTGCGCACTCGCATCACACAGATAAGTCGACCATGTTGGAGCTTAAAGAGCAGCAGGGATCATTGTGACATGTTTCCACTAAGAGGTATGTGCAAACGTCAACATCAAAGTTTGAAAGTCCTGCCGTCCTCTGCTCTAAATCAAACAAGATGGGCTCTTCCTTTATGAGGACGTGGCGGTTGGGAGGAGGAGAGGGGCGCAGCAGGCTGAGCTTATTCCTGTTGGTCAAAGGAGTTTTTGGAAATAAACCATGCGCAGTCTGTGATTGGCAGCCCAGTGTTGTGTGTGTGTGTGTGAGCGAGAGACCATATGAAAGGGACCTTCCACCAAAAACTGCAGATGTTGATCAAAGAAGACGACATGTGGAAATAATCACTTGCGTGAGCCCCTTGTGGAGATTTAAAGAAAGGCAAACCGTAACAAATGCATTGCTGAGAGCAAGACTTCCTACATGATGGTTATAATGCGTTTTGTTCTTTTCTGTGACTACAGGAGGAGGATGCATTGGTCATCAGTTGTGTCTTTAGAAACTCACAGTTGATGAAGATAATTTTGAGCATGGTGAGGGTGAAGAAGGGCAGCGGAGCCACGTCCACCTTCACAAACACCGCCGTCAACAGGAAAACCACGAAGATGACAGCGAGGCTGCCGATGATCCGAATCTTCTGTGGAATCCTGACAGCGGAAACCACGACGGGGAGAACGACACGCGTAAACGAAGTGGGGTGTCCGTTTGAACAGCAAGCCGGATCAACAACATTAGCCATGTGCATCTGGTTTCATTTTGAAACCCATTAAAAAAAACAGAACGTCAGTCAGTCAAAAGAAAAAAAGGCAGCCTGAGAATATAATTTGGAATTACAGAATTTTCCGAAAACATTGCAAAAGAGGGCGTTTGTGATGTCATGACAAATTCTTCAGGAAAAAAAAAAAAGAAAAATAATTCTGCAACAACACAGTACATTGAGGAAGTAATGGACAGTGGGAGAAAAGGGAGAAGAAGAGGATGGGACGAGGGTCAGAGAACACAAACAGCATTCCACGGGTTTTGGGGCGCGGCCTGTCGTGGTCTACCAAGCGCTCCCTCAATCCCACTTTAATGAGAGAAAACACAGCGCAGCCACGGTTCCCATGACGGCGCGTCACTGCCGCCGTCAACAGGAAGCGGCTCGCAAAGGGCGGGAAGGGGGAAAAAAAAAAAAAAATCACCAACGTTTGTTTTGTGTTGCTCTTAAGGGTTCAACTTGAATCCCTCCTGCGAGCGGTGAAGTGTGCACGCGAGCTACAGGGTCATCGACCGTGGCGGGTACCTCTGGTGGATGAAGGAGTTGAGGCAGGTGAAGACGAGCAGCGGCACCATGGCGCACAGCGTCATCACGTTGTTGAACTTTGACTGCAGCACGTTGCGAGTCTCTACGCCATCCAAGGTGATGTTACCCGTCGGCGGGGGGGGCGTGGCGGCGGACGGCTCCCTCAGCCGGCTGGTGAAGTACTGAGGAGAAGGACGGAGGAATGCGCGGTTATCCCGACGGCGATCGGCTCTGTAGGAGGACTCGCTCGCTACGGAGTCACAAGTTGGTGTCATATGAGTTTAGCTCGCAGCAATGCAAGCAGGTGGCCTGCTGCCCTACAACTTCCTCTTCCTGACTCATTGCAGGGGACTAAAGCAGGCTGCCCCATTTTAAAAAGGCTTTATCCTCAAAGTTAAGTGACCTTCTAAGTGGAGCCTGACCTCATAAATCGACTAATGAAAACCAGACGGCCCCCAACCGGGCTATTCTTTTACGTCCGTCTGCTGTTTTGATGATGTACTATATTGTATTCCTAAAATGCGTCGTTAACTTACTAGTGTTGCGGTCATAAAGAAATTCCAGGGTAAGAGGGTTCCCAAACCCATGATGAAGAAAATGATCCAAACGGCATGGTATCTGGGAAAGGGACAGAGAGGCGGTTCACATGAAACCACATCAGCGACGTCATCAACAAATTCATTGGCTGGGTCTCGTCCAGGTTTTGATTGGCACACGCCGCATATTTACATCAAGTCCCTGGGATAATTTTGTTTCCTTTGGAAGCGTTTGTCTTACTTGTCCCGCGGTGCGTTGCTGGCCGTCATGTTTGTTGTTAGACAGTTAGAGGCACGAGCTCAGTCGGGGTTTGATCAGGGTGGCACCACGTCTGAAATACACAGATAGCAAAACAGTAAACATGCAGGCAGCACCTACATGTTTATCAGAAGCTTCCATTGGTCTCTCCTTTCTATATTTATCTTTTTTTTAAAGAGCCAGACAATCTGTAAGTTACGTAATGGGTTGCAAAACGTGTTACTGGAACAGTGTCATTTACCGTAAAACAGAAAAAGTTCAGTTCAGTGGTCTATAATTGGGCCTGGCATCACTTCACGACACGGACGCCGTAAAAAGTAGTTTTTATTTTATATCCGAGACAAAAAAGAACAATAGTAGTCAAATCCTCACACAAACAAAATACCCAAAAGTCCTTCCAAGTCCTCGGTAGAGTTGAAAAACAGTTGAGAAAAAGACCAGAAACCTGCTTCCACTCAGCGCTTCCTCATAAATGTGGTACAAAAGTGCAAAATAAATGCATAGACAGAACCAAACTCTGCCCCCACCTCAACACTTAAAGAAAACCAGCTTCTGAAGACATACTTACAGCAGTTAAATCAGGAACAAAAGCCTCCTCTCCTCTGAGCAGATGAAGAGCCAAACTCTCTTTATACCGTCCAGAGGTTTGGACCTCCCTCCATCCCTCCCACTGCTCCCCTCCTCGACCCTTCCAGCATACTTCTACATCCAAGCGTCAACTACTAGATTTCTCAACACTTAAACGGCGCAACATTCCTGAGAACAACTTGAAAATGCATTTTCAGCTAAAGCTGAATTAAGAAAAAAAATCTGAAAATAGAGAAATGAGAAAAGCAAAGATAAATTTTAGAAAATGGCTGTGTATTTCTAGTAGTATTATTAGTAGTTGTAATTGTGGTACTGGCAGTACTAGCAGTAGAGACGTAGTAGTAGTTTTAGTATCAATAGCTGTAGAAAAACTAGTCAATTTATTTTATTTTGTAGCGCTCAAAATCGCAAATTACAAATTTCCCTCAGAGGGCTTTACAGTTTGTACACAGAAGACATTTTCTGTCCTGAAACCGTCACATGAAACAGGAAAACTCAAGAAAGGAAAACCCTTCCGGGGGAAAAAGAAACCTTAGGGAGAACGTCAGAGGAGCATCCCTCAATGTAAAAAGACTACAATGGATGTCATGTATACAGAATGAACAATGTAAAAGAAGTAGAATACATTGTGTTGCAGTCGTACTAGCAGTATTTGTAGTAGTTCTAGTATCAATAGCAGTAGAAATACTACTTTTTGTTATAGGTAAGAGTAGTAATACGTAATAAGAGTTGTAGTTTCACTAATAGTAGTATTTTTAGTATGAACAGCAGTAGAAATACTAATAGCAGTTGTAGTAGTACTACTAGCCATAAGCGAGGTTAGTAGTAATACCTTCAGGTCCTAATCAGCCATTACCGTTCACCTGTGTCCAGAGACAGAGAGTTGCCACGGATACGACGCAGCCGCGATGGTTAACGAGCTGTTTAAAGACTGCATGGCCAGTTTCCACCCTCCAGTATCCACCGTGGCCGGCCACATACACACTAATGCAAATCCCAGGAACGGTACGAAAAAACTGACGTGATCAGTGGTATTGGAAAAACGATTTTTATAAAAAATAGTTTAGGCTCCTGTCCTGGCTGGAATGTCCGAAAGAGCTGAATGGTTTTAATAGCTGAAAATGTGAACGTTTAATAGCTGAAAATGAGTTGAAAGGTGGGGTGGAAAAAATAGAAGCGAAAGTTGATACTTTGAGTACTGAAGCAGCATTGTAAAAATTAAGATTCAAAGAACAATACCTGGAATGCTGAAGCTGCATTGAATAAATGAAGATTTAAAGAACAATACCTGGAATGCTGAAGCAGCATTATGCAACTATTATGCAAGTTGGTAATTTTGCAATACTGTGTAAAACATAACTTTTCTGCACGATTCTCTCTTGACAATTTGTAGCTCACCTTTATTGCCTGCAATCGCTTCTCTTCCTCTTAAATTCTACCCTTGTCCTATCCGTCTCATTTCCCCCCTTGTTGCGGACATCCTCTCCTGACCCGATGGTGTACTCAGCTAGCTGAGACCTTCTCCGGCTATTTAGAACCAAATCAAGCTAAATAACACCGGTTGCAAATACATTACACAATCACGAGTAATTTAAAAAAGGGGATGAATTGAACTGCTCATGGGCTTCTTCAAAGACATTTGTAATGCCTCTTAAAGGGGAAATATAACCCAAATACTGACGTGAATGTTTTTGATTTAAACGGTTAAACAGGCCGTCGTAGGCAGCTTTCCCACAATGCAGAGTGGCTCCTTGCCGCTGACAGGCGTCACATGACGGGTCCCACGTTTGATCTGCCTGGTCATGAGTAAGGACGGAGGCTGTTTCAGTGTACATAATGGATGCATTATGTACACTGACATTGTAGTCTGGTATCATGCATCCAAACACACCAACCACATACCAACACAAAAATAATAGAAAAGAAATCGCCGGTCAATATTTTCTCTATCTTAAAAGTCCATATCAGGGTTGGTCCCAAAAATCGAACACGGGTAAGTATATGTGTACATTTGTTGGTTTCAGCTAAAGTAGCTGCATTTACACTTTGACACGGCCTTACTCAGTTTAACAAGTCCTTCCGCCTCTTTGTCCCTATGCCCTTTGGTTACAATGACAGATTTCTGTAAAAGAACGCCTTCCTCATCCCAACCAAACCGGCCAGCTGGCACGAGCTCGCTGGTGTTGAAATGTTTCTCCCAACACACGCAGACAGTCGCAGAGGCACTTTGCAGTCTGTAGAGTTGTACAAGACTCCAGTTCAGCATCAGGGGGAAAATACACTCTCTCTCCCACGGGAGAGAAAAAGATGGATACAAAGAAAACTCAACAAGAAATATAAAGAAAACAACGAGCCGCTCGTCTGTCAGAAGCGACCACGCATCCGTGATTTTTGTTTTTTCTTTCCAATGGCAGGCGATCTATCGCACTGCGTGCGCTCACTCACAGAATGCAACCGCCAGGCTCTTTAGGAATAGCAGCTACTTTTATAGAAATGCAATTTATGTCTTTCTGTAATTCTCACAATAGCAAAGTCGTCCGACGGGCCTCGAGTTTAACACATGTGAGCTAACCTCTCTAACTGGGTCGGATTCGTTTCCAGGCCGATGCACAGAACAGTTTGATGGTGGTCATGTGATTAGGCCAAAGAAAAGTTCCTTGTTTCCCAGTACTTATGGATGGAGAAAACGTCACGTTTCCTCTGTATTAGACTGGAAGGCCAATGCAGGATTTAACCAGCGTCAATGGATAAACCACATGAAAACCTGAATCAAAGGGATTCCTGATCCTAAAATCAAAATCATAGGATGGAATTTGGCGAAATAGAATACAGCCTAGCTTAAAAACCATCAATGTCAGAGTGACTCAACAGTGCTGTTTGCCATGTAAAGATCTGCTGGAACCATAGATTCTGATACAATTGGGATACAACCTGAACCTAACTAGTCTGTTGTAACGGGTAATAGTTTAGCAGTACTCCCCTTCATTCTCTAAATCTGTTGGCCAAAAATCAACAGCTAAAATGTATTAACTATTGCCCTCAATGGGTAGTAAGTAATCGGTCTTCGGTGCAGGTGTCAGTGACAACAAGTGGCCGGATCCTGGATCCGTCTCATGGCGGATGCCTGATTAAACTACAGCTTGCGATGCACAGCTCACTTGTAAAACAGCCCACTGGTGAGTCAAGAGCCATAAAGCTTTTTGGATAACATCTGTGGTCTTGATAAACTATGGATAGCTGAATGGCCATAAAAATGCCCAGAAACGGGGGAGTTGTGGGGATCTATCCGAATATAGCGTGAATGCAGAAACAGACCTCGACGCCATACAAAAGAAGCCTCTGTCTGACCCGCCCTTAACCGAGGACACTCCTCCGGCGTTGCACCACGGATCGCCCTCACCATGGCAACCATTCAGCGACCCGGAGGGGTCCGGCGCGTTTATCGCTCTCCTTTGCGCTAATAATGGTTCTTCCTTGCATATTGATGCACGAGAAGCCACGGCAACCAAAGAACAAAGATTAGTGACATGTCGGTGTAATACTTGGGGTCCGATGTCCGCTTTCCACCTCATTGAAATACAACATTAACATTCCGTAGCGTGCTACATCATGAGGTTGCCACAAACAGCCAACATGCTCAACTCTAAATACCGTGCGAATGCAGATGTTAAACAGGCTGAAACCAAGCAAGCCTCAGTCCGACCTGCTGTTATCTCCCTTGTCGGCCTCGAGATCTTGGCTCTACCCAAACCGTGAATACGCCTGCGTGGTGGGTGGAGATAATGTGCAGTTCTGATGGTGGAATAAAGTTTACTAAAATCGTGACTCATTGTTAAGACCGCCGAACAAGAACAGACCGTTCAGCCCAAGTATCGTCTGGGTCTCTTTAATAAATTACTTTGTCATCATGCATATGTTTCCACCAACACACTGACAGCAGTTTCCAAACTCACACCGTTCCAAGAAGGACACACACACACACACACACACACAAAACGCAGCTTGCTCATCAGCCAGGAATACATTACAGCTGCGTTGCCTTTTACAGCCTTGATTCCAGTTCCACGCTGCTTCCAGCTTTTTCTCTTTCTTTCTTACTTGCTGACGGTCAGCCTGAAGAAATCAAATTTCAGACTTTCTAATCGATAAATAGCTCAGCACAGGATTTAAACGTTCATCGTCCAGAGGAACTCGTTACGGAGTCTATCATCTTTCAGCACCCGTAGACTTACAAACACAAGTTTTAAATGGAGCCATTCACTAGAACTGTGGTGAAACATTTGCAGAAAAATGCAACCGCGGTAACAACTTCCCGTCCTACACACGCACTGGGCGTTTGGCTGGGGGCTGTTGAAAGGCTGTTGAGGGTGTGCCTTTTTAAATATATTCTCCACTCAGGACTTTCATAGCCAAATTAAATCGAATGGATCAACGAAAACAGACAAAGTCCGAATCAAAGCTCACTTTGAAATCTGAGCCTGAGAAGGACTGTGAGATGTGGTGGAGCACAGGGACACAGCGGGCCTACGTTAGTCTGGGTGTGGTGATTTATTAATGATTGATAAATGGGGCTGGAGAGGAATGAAATGAAAATTAAACAAACCTCTAACAACCAAGACTGTACCTGAGGTCACAAACCCAACTACCACAAAATGTCAGGAACATCAGGATCAGCTGGAGTTGTCATTATTATAATATTATTCTGTCCATATCAGACAGCATGAAAAATGTGTTTTTTTTATTGTCTTTGTTTGCAAAAATTGCGGCAGCAAAACAGCGGAGGTGGAGGAGGAGGGGGGTGGGGGGTCATAAAAGATCTCCAATATCATTGTTGTTGCACACGCCCTCCAGTCATTTCTTCCACAAGAGAGAAGAAACAGCTGCCAACCGTAACAACACACTGACTAAACCCAGTCAGACTGGGCAACGCTTGGTCTCATGAGTCACTTTAGTCATACAAGTTCCCGCCAGCCAACGTGGGCCACAATGAACAATCCTTCCTTCCTGCTTCACTGAAAACAGGTGGCAAGAATTTAACTCGCACCACTTTCAGATGTGTAGTGTCAGATGCTGGACCCCCGAGGTGGGTTTCGATGCTGGGGTCCCATCAGCTGTTCGGCTCGTCCTCCCCCTTCAGGGGTCAGGTTGTGAAGTGGGGAGTGGGGGGGAAGAGAGAGACATAGTTCGAGGGGATTCCTGCTCCTAGAGGAAGCAGGTGATGCATTTCTTGCAAGATTGCCTGCCAAATGTTTCCCTAAAAAATCATTGAAATTGCATCAACGCCTAATAACAAAAAAACGTTATTAAACACATACACGGGTCATATAACTGAAGTACCGACTCCCACAGACACAGTTAGAGCAGCTAACAATACATCTACATGACTTGTTATTAGTGGCCTTCATACACACAGGTGTGACATTGACTCACCTCTGAGCTTGTGTTATTTTTTTCCTAACCGAGCCGACACAGCGGGTCATTAACCCGGCTGCTGGTCAGCAACACGCGCGCACTTCCTGGCGGAGTCGGTGAAATTCACCGGGCTGCGTGCGGCTTTATTTACATGCTGGATAGCGGGAATTATCACGACTGTGTTTACGCAGACAGATAATGGAGATTAAGCCACGCCCCCCCCTTCCAGGCGCGAATAAAGCGAATTAACGATGAACTGGTCGGGCGAGTAAAAGCGAGGCGAAAATTCGCGTCGCTGTTGGCGCTAAATTCAACTTCCACGCCGCAGTCAGCAAGAGGGCGCACGCTGCCCCGCGAAACGAAACCACCGGCGGCGTCGTCTTCTTCTTCAAGCCCCACGGGAACTGTTGAATAAAGTCAAAACGAGCCCCGGGGTCGCGAAACAAAAAGGAGAAAAAACACGTCGAGGAGAAGAGCAACTTTTTTTTTAAAGCGCGAAATTTACCGTTGTTTGATACGCAAATCAGACGGGTTTTTTCATTAATCCAGCCACCATTGTTCACTAATACGTGATAATAACCGTCAGACACTAGTAATTAGTCGGTAGACAGCGTCTTTAATGAAGCACACCGGGAGGTCTTACCTTAGCGTGGCAGCCGGTGGAGGCTTGTTGTGGCGTCTAGTGCAGCGTGTGCCCTCGCGCGGCTTTATAGGTTGCGTTCAGGTACCGCTCAGACGTTTCAGCTTTCAGCCGAAAGACTCGCCGATTTTATCAGAATTGCCGATTGTCCGTGAATCCACCATTCATTCATTCATGATGGGCGTTCGATTGTATTGTAATATTGTTTTATTTATGTTGTAATATATTTATCTTCATCTGAACTGGCTCTATCTGTGCATTTATCTTTACTTTTGAGATCTTCTTTTTACACACATTCAAAGAGCATTCAAGACCATTTTATTCTATGATTGTTGTTCTTATGGACTTATATATAATTTGTAACTAAATGCACGGATGGGGTGAGAAATGGGTAGCCAATTAAACCTCTTTACCTTTTTTTTTTACTTTACATTTGTATGTTTCCCGAAAAGCACAATGGAAGTATGCTCCAAAGTTACATGATACATTTAGTGATGACAGGATAACTGGTTCAATGTCACAGCTTAACCTTCTTGTTTGTGTGAGTATATAAGAAGAAACGGTGTGTAAAGAAACTGCACCATGAATTATATCATCTTGCATTATTCACCGTTCACCACAGAGTTTTTCCAAACACAAAGACACCACATGTATCTAGGCTAAAGGGAATTGTTGACAGGGTTAAACAATGTGTGATGTGTCAAGACAGCAGGACGGGAAAGACAGGCTACGCCTGATTGAACTTGCACTCACGTGTAAACTCTAAAACTACCACGGAAGCTCTGAAGTTGCTGACAGAAATTAGTATTTTACTTTAACAAATTTGCTCCAGGAATGAATTGCATTGAGCGCAACTGTGCGACGCAAAGTCCCGCCGCGAACCACTCTGAGCGAGGAAGTGACAAAGTGACCACATGACATTACTCTTCTCTTTTACTCTCTAGTACAGCTTGTTCTCTCGAGGGCCTTCGAGAACCGACGCCGACGTACAATTCCATCATCACGCTTCCGTCTGTCTGAAACCGCTGTGGCCGGGCGTTTTTTTGGGAGTCTGGCCACACTTTGCTTTGGTCTCCCACTGGTTGCTCACAGAGTTGTGGTGGTTACGCAGTCATCCACACCCTGTCTCGCCACCCCCTCCATCTAAATAAAGCCCGCTGTTAAGGACAGAATCCAAGTGAGAAGGAGTCTGGCTGGTTCCTTGTTTTCCCCTCAAAAGAAGAGGTGCTGGGACGCTGAGGACTGAAGGGGACTAACGTCGCTCTGTCTGCTGTTGTAAAAAGACACAAACATTCACTTCTTTTCCCACCCGAGGCTGTTAAAATATCTTTATTTCCTGCTATAGAAACGTGTCTCTTTAAGACTGCTCCCTCTCTCTGCACCGTCTGCGTTCCTTGTTGCTGGCGTTGTCAAAAAGGAGAAAGTCACTCGGCAGCCTTTCGGTGCAGCATGCCAAAGCTTTGACTGGGACGGGAAAAAACCTCCAACCTGCAACCCGTGAAGAGATAGGGAATGAGAAAGCCAGCGCGGGAAAGCAACAGTCTCAACTGTAGCTCAACAGGTGTCCGTGGTCGAGGTCTTTGCCACTAACTGATTCCTCCGAGGCACCTGTGTGACACACGGTAACCGCTGGAGACGTTTGTGCCCTGCAAAAGGCTGAACAATGAGCCTGGGTCGACTGGATAATTGTGAAACGTTGTCAAGAAGAATCGAGAGGAACATTCAATGGCCTCTTTTGTGTCGCACCGCTGTTTGCATTTCTATTTTGGGTTGAAAACCGTTTTTGTTGTTGTGACCTCCAACACTTCCTGCAAAGGTCGCCTCACGCGCTATTTTCAGAACACAGGTTTATGAGAAAATAGACATCATACGTGTCTAATTTGAGAAGATCCTGTGAAATCTGTGGCATCCGAGGCGAGCTGCGGGAGAGGAGGAGGGCACGACGTTAATGGGCTGGAAGTGGCTTTCTGACCTCATTTTGAGACAACGGTAGGAAAAGAAATTCCAACGTATGGCCTCTTCAACCCCAGAATGGCTCAGGAGTAAATCCCGCTTGGGATTAGGAATTTGTAGGCCTGGCTCCTCTTTCGAGGGTTTAGGCTTCGTACTGAAGCGACGGGAGACAGGCGAACAAAGAAAAAAGGTCCTCAGGGAGGTCCGTGAGAGCCAAACCCCCCTTACTACTGCCCAGACAATGAATTCCTCTTAATCCAGTGGTGCTAAATGGAATGAAATGATCTGACACATTTTAGGAATTATATATATAAATTCAGAGTCTGTTGTGCGTATAAGAAGGACGAGCATTCAAAGACAATATTCCGATCTCTTTTTATTATCTGGAAGGAAACGCACTGCTCTGCATTCTGCACGCAACATCACATTACCGGTACTTAGCAGCTGCACTCATAAATCTATATATTGCAACATAGTTTTTTAGATAAGATGCTTGTAGTCATGCAAATAGTTTTTCTTCTTCCTTCTATTTGCTGAGAATGTCTGCCTTTTAGTAACATTTCCTTAGTCTCATCTCTGAGATAAATTGGTGTAGAGGAATTCATATTTATTGGTTAAAACGATTTCCACATTTTACTGGTTGTTTAGACAGCTTTTTTCAGCCCGGCAGTGTGTACCAGCATTGTTGTTTAGGTGTTTCCTGTGTGTCCGCTCACTCCTTTGCATGCTTCTGGCCCTGTGTACGTATCTTCTCTTGTTATCACTCATTTCTCTCTTTGGGGCTCTATACAAACATCAGTCTTCACCCAGGCCCATCCTTTTTTATCCTATCAGCCATCCGGTCCTGATCGGAAAAATAATCAAACAGAGGTCACTGAGGACATATTTCTTTAGAACATTTTTGGAGTGCTGCCAATACCATGTTTGTGCTTATGTCTATTAAGCATCCTGCCCATTTGAAATCCATTACGCAATGGTTCTCTCGGTTGTTGCGTCCAGTCTCATTGATACCGACCCAGTAAACCGAGGCCGCCTGCAGCCCTCTCCTCTTCCCGATTGCTTCACTCTCCGGACTGTGGAGGACGTCTGCCGAAGCCATCAGCTCCTCAAGGGAACACTCAAGGTGAGCATCGTTAAAGAAAGACGTTTTCTTCACAATTCTTCCAGATGTTGGGGGGGCAATTAGTCCACAGGATGTAACCTTGCTATTTGAATCCCACCCTCCCACACAACTAAAAGGGGGGAAAGAGGAAGAGGACGTTTGACCTCACAGTCCTGAGGACAGGTCCAATCAGCTAACGTCTGAGATGCAGAGATGTGGGTGTAGAGCTCTGAATTCCAGGGTTCTTTCTACCTATCGTTCCTTTACAAGGTCCCTGTTTCTTTTACATACACAAAGTATTCTCAGAAGCTGTCACCAGATCCCTCAGCTGCACGCGGACAGCATGGCAATCACATGGGTGTCACACAGTGACACCCATGTGATTGAGTGAGGTGAATCTGCTGCACGCAGGACCCGACAACTGCGCGAGAATCGTGTAACAAACCGCTGTGAGGGAGTCACAGCTCGGGGAGGAGATCAGATCCACGTTTCCATCGAACAAGGTAAAAGCCGTCAAAGACATGTTTAAATACTCAGGTCAGACAAAGGGGAAAGCTCAGATTAAACGACAGCTGCCGGTTGTTTGCCGATGACAAAGAAGAATAGTCTATCACGGTAGATTAAAGTCCCAATGTGCAGATTCTGAGCTGAAGAGCAAACACACTGAGGTTACTTGTGGTCATTTAACACAAAGCATCTTCAAGTCGTGGCTTTGGCACACCACTATAGGAATGAAGTGATCAGTAAACCAGTCAATATGTTTTTGATTATATCAAATATAAGACACAGGAACCTACAGCGACGTCTTTACATTTGCTTTTTGTCTGACAATCCAAAAGCCCAAAAGAATACAGTCAATACTTGAAATGGCTAATAATTACAACAAAACGCCAGATGAATGTTATTTTTATTGACTAATCAGTTTAATTCTTCAGCCCTGCATGTCACAACATAACTGTGGGTAAAGTGACTATATAGTAAAAGAATAAGCCACAGCGCAAGGAGATATTTACCTCATAACGTCGCTTGGAGTGAAGAAAGTATAAATAGTATCTAAACACAGCAGAGGCTGAAAGTCGTCCTCCAACAACGTAAGCTGTGGTTGTCGAGGGGAAAAGCCGTCTAGACAGGTTAAGTAATGTTGTCACAATCAAAAAAACCACAAGCAAAAAAAAAAGTGTGAATGTCTTCTTGTGTATTTTTTTAAAATGTTGAGTCTTTTCCTCTCCACACAGCGGCTCACCCAGCAGGAACCTTTGAGTCGCAGGGCTCAGGTTCAGGGGAATTCTCCTCAAATCTTAAACCATAGTTGTGACTCTGTCATATTCAGAAGAACATTTCTCCTGTGCACGTTGAGGTCACAGGTCTACTTCACAACACACAAAGTATCAACAACAACAAGAAGAAGCCGCAGCACCTGGACGAGCAGCCGGAGGCGGGAGAAGGAACAAGGCGTCTTTTCTTAGCTTTGGCTCTTACCAAAAAGATGTGGCCAGTGATCCACTACTGGACTCATTTATTCAATGTGCAGTGCCAATGCAGGAAATAGCAACTGTGGAAAATATGTGAAATTGTGAAACAGTTATTTCCCGGAATCTGAGTTTCAACTCTCAGACAGGGACTATTACTTTTAGAACCCTTTGGAACATTTTAAGGTTCTAAATGGCTAACATGTGTTAGCGCTTTGAAAGGCAGTTTTCCCCTGAAGCAACACAGGGATGAAATCTAATCTCATCTGCTGATGAAAAATTGCTCTCTTAACCTTTCAAACAGCGTGATGAAGACCAATCTGTGTAAAAATGTGTTGATAGAAAATCAAACTGACCCGAATTGGCCTCCTGTGTGTGTACATGATTTGTATTGAAGAAATAAAAACAATCCTAATGTTATTGACCATTATGGGAAGTTAATGAAGAAACATGAACCGTAGCGAGACGTATTTTCAGAACAAACTAAAACTACATTTCTCCCTCAACCTTAAAGGGGTTTTTCCTGTGAGAGAATGTGGTAAACAAACAAACCATCCGGACAGACCACACACAGATCCAAATCCATCGATGTATTTATTGGTTTTCCCTTGACTAATTGTCTAAGTATGTCAGGTTGACACTTAGTAATTAGCACTAGACACAAGCTTCATCTGCGTCTGATGAGAATGCAATTGGATCTGCAGCTATTGTTTCAAAAACAATAACAGTTCCAACTTCTCCAGGTAACAAGTAACCCTTTTAAACAACGTTTAAACACGACGAGCTCCAAATCCACAAAACCTGCCTGAAAATGAGGAAAGTCGATGGCCAGAGAGTCTGTGGAGCGAAGCTTTGCTGTGATTGGTCCTGACTATTTATTCTTGGCAGCACCAAATAAGCAATTTGAAGATGTCTTCTAGAGCTCTACAAAGCCGTGGAGGACATTTTTTTTGTAGTTTGACATTTCATGCAATAATCAACCAAATAAAAAAAAAAAAAAAAGTTAGTATACATTCTGCTTTTGTCTTCTTCTCAGCTCTGGCTTTGCTATCATCTAATCTCCCGGATAGCTTCATTATTCACGACCTTGTGTATCAGAGGGCCTTTGTAACCTGGCTTCGCTCCACTGCGTCATATTACCCTCCGACGTGCTCATTTTATGCGCTGCTCCCCCTTTCAGATGGAGCTTTTCTAATTATAGTCCCCTGGTTGTCCGTGGACACGCGGCTGTGCTGGGCCAACGGGTGACTGACGGAGCTGCTGAAAAGAGTCAGTAATTTATGCTGCAGGTGCAGCTGAAGGCCGATCGGCAGAAGGCTGGCGGCCTAATTCCAGCCTGTCACCTAAACTATACGACTTCTGCTACTTGAGAAGACTGGGACAGAAATAACGATCCGAGATGTCACGTTAGTGTCATTTTAAAAGAAGGGTAGGACTTGTAAGAACAGAAAGCCTCGCAGCCAACTGGAGGTCTGGAGATTACAGGACATTCACTTATCAGTGTGAGAATAGCAGTTCTCTCAAAGCAAAGCAGCTTCAACACACCCTGTCAACATTGTGTCAAGCAATGTGTGTGTGTGTGTGTGTGTGTGCGTGCGTGCGTGTAGTGAAAACATGTAGTACAACAACATAGCAGCAAGTGTTCACATCGTACAGTAGTGGTTAAAACTCAACAGGGTCTATTCTCGGAGCTCTTTCATGCTGACCCCCACTGTGAAGTGCTAGTGTGTGTGCGCGTGCGTGTATGTATATGTGTGGGCGCGCGCGTACGTGATTTATACACTCCCACTGTCTCCTGCTGTGATGCCTCAACTCGGACTGTGTACGAGTCTCCCCCCTTTGGGCCACAACAACAACAACAACAACTTTGAGTCCAACGCGAGTTCAGCTCCCAACTTCCTCCGCAGCTATCACAACACGCACGCTCGAGCTCTTCCCCCCATCGCGGTAAAGAGAGCGCACGCGCACTTTGGTGTTTCCGGTGCCGCACATCGCACGCGGTCACCGGCGAACAGCCGATCGCGCGACGCGACGCGACGCGGCGCGCTGCGACTTTGTGATCTGGCGCCCGTTTCTGCCGCAGCTGCGTTCGGCCCGGCAGCGGTGTTTAAGGCGCTGAACACCGCGGAGGAGCTGCACTTACCCGGTCACCGAACGGCCCGGGGTGACGTCACATTAGAGAAGCCCGTCGCTCCGCGCGCACAGATGCTCATGCGTCCGTTTTTCTCGCCTCTCGTCCGGCAGCAAAACTCTCCTGGCGCGGGGGAGACGGGCTGCGAGGGCACGGGGGAGGTGTGGGAGGGGGGGGGGTATTAGGGAGGCCGGTACTGGGTGAGAGAGAGAAATGAAATAGTTACACAACAGCAAGTTGTCACCGGCTGTGTCGCACCTCTGTCGACAGCAGGAGGTTACTAAGCAGGGGCGTAGCAAGGAGGGGCCGGAGCAGCAAAGGGGCCCCTGCATCCATCACACCAACCACGTGTCAACCTGCTTTTGCGTAGAAGGATGTCTATGAGAACATGAATCTACTTCTCACTCAGTTTGTTACCTCGGCACCTTGTAAACATGAGTTAATGGTCTCAACCCTTCTTGCAAGTCTTCTTTAATCCCGCCTTCCTTTTGGTTGGGGGTGGTGATTGACAGGTTGCCAATAACTGTTTCTTATGAATACGCAATTGTGTACTGTTTCGTTTTTCAGATATGGAAGTTCACGCTCCTTGGAGTTGTCCTGTCATCATCTTTGAAGTATTTCGTGCTTTGTGATGCTCCCCCTGACGGGTGGATCATCACACGCAAGTGTGTGGTTCTGCTTTTTGTCTGTTCTGTTGAATCAGTACAGGTGGGTTGTGAAAGGATTGTGTAAAAACACATGAGTATATCTTTCCAACAACACTGAAGAAAGTTATATTTGTCGATGTTCGTTCACCCTGTCTGACAGCTTCTCCTCCCAATAACTCCCACCATCACAGATGTGCAATAATAACTACAAGATAAATACAGCAATGCTCAGCTTGACCAACATTCTTTTTCACTTTCCTGATACCGAGCTTGTTGGCCTGTTAACACGCGCATGTTTTAGTTTCTGGAGGATGTCCACCAGATGTTGGCCGTCCTCCTCCATCACAACAAACGCGTGGGGGCGAAATACTTTGGGCTCACTTGCAGAGAACCTCCCTGGGCCGAGTAACCCAATGACCCAGTTATGCAACCAAGGCCAGAGGAATGATCATTGAGAGCTAGTGAAATTCTTTCACCACAGCTCGTGGGTGCAAAATGTCCCTTTTCACACACAGAAAACCTGCCAACGTAACACTTCTCCAGTGTTTATCTAGTCTGACCCACATAGAGGGGAAAAAAAACAGTTCCATCGAGTAAGTGTCACATAATTTAACTTCAGTACAACATGTGGCTTGGTGGACATCGGCGGTTCGGCCTCATTGTGTTCTAATCCTCCGATTCAATTTGAGTCATAGAATCCTTACAAAGAGGAGACGTGGACCAACTTGTGGGACAACTGAAGGATCAGCGGTGTTTGCTGGTGATCCTGTGTGTGTGGAGGAAGTTGCATAACCAGATTATGTGAGTTTGTTTTTGGATTTCTCTCAGCTTCAGAATCTGAAATGTGAATCGACTGACGCAGCTTCTCACACACGCAGATTCCTGAATGAGCTCCTGTTGGACTTCGGCGGTGGCCTTCAGAACGCTGTGGTCATTTAGACAAGAGAGTCACAGATTGTGGATGAATGGCTTAAAATGTGGTGACTGTCAAAGTAAGTGGAAAATGGGTAGAAGTTTAAATGAAACATTTTGACTTGGTCGCTGAGGGATTTAGAGCTTCAGTCAAAAAGTGAGTCAGCAACTGTTTCATTAGATGAGAAAATGTGTCAAAAGACGTATATAGATGCATAATTATATATATATATATATAGTATATATATATAGTATATATATATATTATATACATCTATCAATTATATATATATATATCTAAAAATAAGAATGTGCTAAGAGTTAAAACCTGTAAACTTCACTGACGCGGATGGATAATTAAAGACTCCTGCAGCGCCACCTACTGGTGAAACAAATGTCAACAACATCGACTGAGGGCATTCAAACTGCCAGATATAAATCAACCAGCTGCAGGTTTGTACTCACTCTCTGGTTTAAACTAGATATAAGTTTTAAACGTGGGCCTGGAATTCTGACAAAATAAAGTTATAAAAAAGACATTTGCATTATATATACACGGCACTGCCTCGGAACTTATGAGCAATACACTAACCAGTTAAAGAAAGCTTTATCTTGAATACCCTGTTCCAGTCAGTCCGGTTAATTAACATTGTTTAATCTTATCATTCCTATTCCGGTACATCAAATAAATATAAATGACAAAGACACTTTATTTTCTGGATGTTAATAGTAGTGTTGTAACTGAGAATAGTGACACTTCCTGATGTTGCCGAGTAAAAAGTTGGTGGTGATGTTTACAGTGCCGACAGATAATATATTAAAGTTTTTGCTCCTCCTCGCTTCAGTATGGTTCTTACATTTGTTTTGATTTCAGCCATTTTAAGGGGAAATCAAAGATTTTACACAAAAAATGCACTGAAAAAATAAAATAAAAGCATACATTACTGCAGATATGGTATAAAATTCCCAGTCAGATATATCATGTGACCCTTTGTGATCTTTTACACACGCCGACCTTTTTTTGATAGAATCGGCTCCAGGTGGATGACAAAGTCAGTATTTCTGAGCGTGGGTCCCCAAGTGGTACTTCAGGTGTGCGCTCTGTAGAAAGCCCCTCCCGCAGAGGTCACACCTGTGCGGTCTCTCCCCCGTGTGGCTTCGCATGTGCTTCTTCAGATGTCCGCTGTGGGTGAAACATTTGTTACAGTAAGAGCAGCAGAAAGGCTTCTCGCCCGTGTGGATCCTCATGTGGATCTTTAAATCGGCTTTCCGGCTGCACTCCTTCCCACAAACGTGACAGCGGTGCAGCTTCACGCCGGCGTGGCCGGCCACGTGTTCACTCAGAGCCGTGGCGGTTTTGCACAGTTTGCCACACATTTGACAACATTTGGAGCCCCTGTGCGAATGTAGGTGGACGCTGAGGCTCGCGGAGGACTCCAGGGCTCTGCCGCACACGGCGCACACGGCATCTGCGTCTTTCGAGTGCATGCGAAAAGCGTGGTTTGTCAAGTGCTGATTGGAGGAAAATGATTTATCGCACAAGTAGCAACGATAGTCGGGTACAGCTAAATTTGAGTGGGATAAATCCGGGGATTCCCTGGATGTGACGAAGGAGCCCTGGCCTCGGTCTGCCGGTGTTTGGTTGCAGGTAAAGCTCGCAGCGGGTCGTTCGTTCTCCCTGCCATCTTGGACGCTTTCCTTTTGGATCGCAGCTTGCGCAGACAGAGCTGAGGCGAGAGGCAACGCAAAGTGCAAGACTTTTGTTCCCTTCTGAAATGGCTCCTCACTTTCCGATGTTTGAGTCTGAGGTTGCAACGGCAGTTTTGTTTCCTCCTGCACATTATTCTCCCAGACAAATGAACGAGGCAGACATGAGACACCAGCGTCTATAAACTGTTGATCTTCTTCTAGCTGCCGACTGGGCCAGAGTTCACAAGGCTCCTCTTTTATGCGTCGAGGCTCCGGGTCCCTCTGACGGACGCTGACGCTCGGCTCAGGTTCACAGAGGTGCTGCTCAGGTGGAGTTTCCTCTTTACAGGTGGATGCCAGAGAAAAGTCTAGAAAAAAGACTAAAGGTTAATCATTTAAAAGTTCTGCATCTCCCATTCTTATTTCTCTAATAGTTACGTGGAAAAGTTCTTTATGCTCCAAGTAAGGTTGGAAAGTTGAGTGAGTGATTAAGTAATAATTATTTTAGTTTAACTGTTCATTTCTTGATTGTCCAGAAAGAACATTTCCCATTATGATTTCTTAGAGCTGAATGTGTCACACAATCGCATCATGTCTGACAGAGAAAAGACGCAAGTACTCACATTTGATTGGCTGGATAAAAAGGAATGTCCAATGACGATTATGCGGCTCTAATGTGATCCCTGTTATTATCTATGTATGTATTATGTATGTTATTATGTATGTCGTTAAGTAATTGTATTCTTTTTGCTGCATTTATTTCCCAATGATTAATGGTTAATTAATGGTCAGTTTATACATGTATAGAATACGGTATACATCCATTATTAGTAATACAACTAATAAAAGTACAGCTGGATTCAACCTAAAATGACGGGTTTGATGTCCTCGTTGACTTTAGGAAATTGACACTAACACAATTGAGATTACAAAACTTTAGTCTCATTATCGGTACCGACAGGTGAAAAATAACTACATGAATAAAAAGAGAGCAGACCTGTTTTGTGGGTTGCCACTAACTCCTGCAGCAGACATCTGAGACGCTCGATCTCCTGCTTTGAGCTGGAAGCGTCTTCTTCGTATTTTGTTATCGTTCGTTCAAAAACCAGAAATATCTCCTCGGCAGCAGCTGTCAGTCGCTCGTTAACAAAAGCCTTCAGCAGCAGCGGAGTCGTCATTTTAAGGATAAATGTTTTATGTGAACGCGGACCACCCCGGGAGGAGGTTGTAATATCTTGTGCTGTTAGCTTGTTGTTAGCCTGCAAGCTACGGAAGTAACACTAAAAGCAAAGTTGGCGCATGTGCAGAAAGCTGCTGCCCCCTGGAGGCCAACTGCGTCATTACCTCTGATGGTGGAAATAGGGTGATTTAATGAACGTTAATTCATCAAAACAAAATAGTCCTGCAGGGACGGCAGATTGCAGCCGTTCACCCTCTCTGCAGAGCGGATGACACGCCGCAGCCTGCCCTTGTCCTTGGCTGTGGCTGCAGCGTACCAGACGGTGATGGAGGAGCAGAGGATGGACTCCATGATGGCCGTGTAGAAGTGGACCATCATCGTCTTTGGCAGGTTGAATTTCTTCAGCTGCCTGAGGAAGAACAACCTCTGCTGAGCCTTCTTGGTGATGGAGCTGATGTTCAGCTCCCACATGAGGTCCTGGGTGATGATGGAGCCCATGAAACGGAAGGAATCCACAATAGTGACGGGGGAGTCTCCTAGGAGGATGTGGGAGGGTGTGGCTCTGTTCCTCCGGAAATCCACAACTCTCCACTGTCTTCAGACCGTTGAGTCCAGGTTGTTTTGACTGCACCAGGACACCAGATGGTCAGACTCCCACCGGTAGGCGGACTCATCCCCACCATAGATTAGTCCAATGAGGGTGGTGTCATCTGCAAACTTCAGGAGCTTGACGGACTGGTGACTGGAGGTGCAGCTGTTGGTGTACAGGGAGAAGAGCAGAGGGGAAAGAACGCAGCCTTGGGGGGAACCGGTGCTGATGGTCCGAGAGGCTGAGACATGTTTCCCCAGCTTCACGTGCTGCTTCCTGTCAGACAGGAAGTCTGTGATCCACTTGCAGGTGGAGTCGGGCACGTGCAGCTGGGAGAGTTTGTTGTTTGATGGTGTTGAAGGCAGAGCTGACAAACAGGATCCTGGCGTGGGTTCCTGGGGAGTCCAGATGCTGGAGGATGTAGTGGAGGGCCATGTTGACAGCATCGTCCACAGACCTGTTGGCTCTGTAGGCGAACCGCAAGGGGTCCAGGAGGGGGTCAATGAGGGACTTCAGGTGGGTCAGGACTAGCCCTTTAAAAGACTTCATGACTACAGAGGTCAGGGAGACGGGCCTGTAGTCATTGAATCCTGTGATCCTGGGCTTCTTGGGAACAGGGATGATGGTGGAGGCCTTGAAGCAGGCTGGTACGTGGCATGTCTGTAAAATAGTGATCCGGAAGCAATCATGATATTTCCATGCTTACTGTACATTGCCTTTGACTATTTTCATAAACCAACGTCAGAGTGGTAACCTTTGGGAATGACATGAGTTTGTTCACAAAAGGCCCTTTCTAAAAAGGCTCCCGAGTCGTGACCTGCTCCCATGTGCTCTACCTTGATCACCCACTTGACCATCTGTCCCACACTGAGCTCAAAGGGGATGAGAGAACAGTCGTGATGCGAGCTGTATCTGGCACTGTGCTCCTCCATCTGCAGCAGGTACAAACAGGCAAACGAGAACAGCAAATCTGCAGGAGTAAATTATGGATTAACAGCTCCTGCTTCGAGCTGTCTTGACAAACAACCTATACATTCATGTTTTCACAATATTTCAGCAGATATATTGTTTGTGGGGCTTTTTGTTTAATGTCATCGCTCAATGGGGAGCAGCCGTTATGGCAGGAGATGAAATTAAACTGGCTCAGGTTTAGGTGCTGCACCGTGTGCACGCAATGCTCCATTGTCTGTGCAGTTTCACATTGCATGCATCTGTATGCATTTCATCACCACCAGAGGGAACCAAATAATTCAAGATGCAACAGTTATGTTGGGGTTCAGTAGGTGTATGTCGATCAAATAGTGCAGTGTTCCATATTTTAATGTAGAATAGTCAAAGTGTATCAATTGTGACAATCATATCAGATATTTTTTCAATCATATCTGGCTTGTTTGACTTTGTTTCATTGATCAATGTGACTTTGCTGGTCTTTTGGACCAGCAACAATTGTTTGTGTGTATATAATATTGACCTAAAATGTACTTTGTGAATGAAACTAACCAAATCAATTAATGCTAATAATTTCGTCTCGTATTAATATCAGGTGAAAATAAACGGAACAATCAGTGAACGCGTGGAGGCGTAAAAAAGGTAGACAGAGAGGACGACGCACGTGTGTTCAGACTGTCATTTTAAAATGTATAGATTTGTGTACCATAGATGTTCATTAATTTATACATCCATCCATCCATCCATTTTCAACCGGTTATCCGGGGTCGAGTCGCGGGGGCAACAGCTCCAGCAGTGGACCCCAAACTTCCCTTTCCCGGGCCACATCGGGTCTTCCCCGGGGCCTCTTCCCCGTGAAATATAAAATGTTTTCATCTAAGCATTTTTGACAATAGACGGCATAAACACCATTTTTGACAATAAACAGCAAAACGACATTTAAATTACCTCACACCTTAAAGGAAAGGGCATGAACGACGTTCAAATCAGAGAGTAAAAAGTATTCATGCTAAAATGTAGTATTCATACGTTTTACATGACATTTCATGAAGTAAATACCCTCCATTTGTTTTGACGTCGCCATGGAGACGTGGCATGTGACAGCGCAGTATTGTCTCCATTCATATTTACGCTATTTAAAGCCCTCAGACTCTCACGCCAGCCTTTGCCAGGTGACGTCAGAGCCCGACAATGTCGGACCGGGCCGGCAACCGTCACGTCAGACACGTTCTACGCATGTGCGGGGGGGTGTTGCCTCCTCGCGTCTAGCGTTGCCGTGGAGTGAAAGCTCCTCCGGTCCTCCCGAGCGTTACTTCGGGCGCAGCAGCATCGGTGCGGAGCAGCAGGCGGACGCGCAGCGGACATGTCAGAGAGCGGGAGCCAGGAACCCCGCGGCGCCGCGAACGGCAACGGCCCGGCGGCGAGAGCCCCCATACCGCCCGTTGGCAACAAAGTGACCGTGGTGCTCGGGGCTCAGTGGGGCGACGAGGGGAAAGGGAAAGTTGTCGACCTGCTGGCGCAAGACGCGGATATGGTGTGCAGATGTCAGGTCGGTCCGTCACACATGCTGCATTCACTTGTTAACTCGCGCCTCCGTTCACGGCGTTGCTAATGTTACCGCACCGGGAAACCCCGCAGGTACCGTTTAACGTTAGCTTAGGTGGGTTGCACAGCGAGCTAACGGCAACTGGCGAGCATTTGGCGTGTGTGTGTTCTCGCAGTTCTGCTAATGTCACCTTGAGTTCCGGCTAACTGCACGTTGAGCTCCTCGGACACATTTTAATGTCTGTGATGAATTGACTCCTGTCACGTGACAAAAAGCCGTAAGCTCCGGTAGCCAGAGTGACGTCAGTTGATTCACTTCGTGCCGGCCGGGCTCTGGTGGTGCGTTTGAGGTAGTCGGTTGGCCCGCTAAAAGGTACCGTTGATGCTGGCAGCAAGCTTTCATGTATCCACACCGGAACAATTCTATTCATGAGTCTGTATTGTACTATTGCGGTATTCATGTGTTGTTGTCGACGAAATGAGTTCCAATACAACACCAACATGTTCTCATAATCTCATTTAATGTAATATGTTAGCAAACTGTAGTTAATTTGGTAACAAACTAGTGTTATCCAGATCATGCAGGTTACACTTGAACGTCACTTGAACACTGGATCTCTAAAAACACTAAAATTATGGGGAAATTGTACAAAACAATACGACATGCATGGTGTGTTGAAAACATAACTACTGGTATAGCAGAATGTACAAACTGGTGCTGCATCGACAGCCAATCAGGATTTAAGGGGTGTGCATAAAGAGACGTGTATTCCACTTTAGTTCTTCAGCACTTGAAACACTTGTTATTATTTATCTTATCAAGCTGTATTTATAGTCACATTCATGTGACTATACCTCACGTGCTCTTCATCTGGACTCGGTCAGCACGTTGGGCCAGTGGTTGAACTCCTGGCGCGATGCAAAACCGGTGGATTGTAAAATCTGAAATGGCATGCGTTGTTGTCTTGGGCGAGTTGGCACGGCAACCAGGGTTCTCTCAGCTCGTTGCCCGCTGTGTACAGATTCCTGTGCCTGATCTCTCTCAACAATGGTAGTTTTTGTGCAAGTCGTCGAGGGTGGCCTGAGGCCCTCCTGGGCGACGGCCTCGACCCACATACTCAAACCAGATCTACTCCCAAGACATCAGAAGGGAACTGGTCTTTCAGTCAACCTCGCTCGACTTAAAATGACTATCATGTTTTGGAAATAGTGATCACCAAGGCAACTAAACATGGGAACAACTTTGAAGAGTTCAGTTTTTCTGTGTGCTACCACAACAATGTGAAGTACTTCCTATTTATGTTGAGTAGAGTTCAAACCCAGGCAGCTCATTTCAGCCTGTTGACACTTTTTCAGCAACAGTCTGTTTATTCTGATGTGAAAGACTATGCAAGCTGAGGCAATAAAGGCAGAATGACTCACCGCTGGCTCGCCATCACCAAAATGTTGGCTGGTTAAGTTATAGGTTGAAAATGTTGTTGCCAAAATGATATCGCATGATAATAAAATTTGATTTGAGGCTCTTGTGCGTTACAATATTGGCAAAGAGTTTCAGAGATGGTAAAAAAAAGTGTTGCAAAGACTAAAGTTTGACTTTCTGCGCCTCCCCTCAGTTCTCTTTTTTTCATCTGTGCTCTTTGATGGACAAACCATCTTATGGAGACACATTCTCAACCATCTTTTGCCTTTCTAACTCATGGGCTGACATATCAACAATAAGCTAAATTCATAACTACATACTTAATACCAGTTTCTACAGCCGCCAATATAGACATGAACTTGCAAATGTTCTGGCTGCTTGTACCAACTCTGTGCACTATTAGTTGTCCGTGTCAATAAGAGGTTGACATAAGCAGGATTCTTTGGGGCCTCGCACCTTCCTTGTCTCGGCGGTCCTGTCTTGGCAGGAGAGGTGTAAAAATAAACCGCTTTCTGGAAGTGGCCCTGCACAGCGTCCCCTCCACACATCAGGGTGTGTGTGTTTATTGGAGGCTGCCGGAGTCAACAGCGCTGATCTTTTTATAAAACAAGCTTCCACAGCAGTCTTGCATCGGTGTTCCTTACAGTCCAGACCTCTCAGGTCCTGGAAGTCGCAGTTGGGAAAACGAGGGCGTGCAGCTGTGGCGGCTTGACACGAGCAAAACACATCTCTGGAGACCAGAGGGCAGAAGAGTCAGCAGTCACTATAGTGGACTGTCATGTACCCGTATCATGCTTCACCAAGTGAATGGTAGAAATATTTACTGCTTAACTTCCTTTTGTGTCTCAAACACTTTGTAAAATAATTAAATTCCAGGTTGCATTGCTGCACTGTGTAAAGAAAAACTGTTGGTACGCCAGAAAGGAAAACGTAGACGAACCTGTTTTGCATGCTGGTTAAATTATTTTAATAGATTAAAAAAAGGGTTTGTGAAAACAGGTTCATCCAGTTAAAAAGTTGATTGTAGCATCCTTCATAATTACACTGTGTGTGTGTGTGTGTGTGTGTGTGTGTACAGTGTGTGTGTGTGTGTGTGTGTGTGTGTATATATACAGTGTGTGTGTGTGTGTGTGTATACAGTGTGTGTGTGTGTATACAGTGTGTGTGTGTGTATACAGTGTGTGTGTATGTAATAAATATATAAATATATAAATATATATATTTATATATCGCAATTGAGGACACGCACATTATTTGTGTCACAACCCGCTTCAATGCACACACCGTCTTTTTGTCTCTTTTACTAGACATTTTGAGAAATGTCAGTTGTATGCATGACATGTGTCATCATTGAGAGGGTTGATTAATAGGGTCAGACACACATGGTTAAAGCGATGAGGTTAAATTAATTTATATTCTGCTTTTCACAGACACAAGGTGACTACACACGGGCCACTAATTTAAAAGGTCAGTTTTTAAGATACAAACATGGACAATCAACAGTAAAATACACAATAAAGACATTTCTCCATTTACATGAATGAGGTTTTGGCGTTTAAAAGAGCTAAAACAAACGCACCACAGGAGGGAAAATGAAATGAGAGCCACTAGTAAAAAAGGATGCAGTAGTTCCACCACATATGCAGGAGTCTTACCATTTAATGCTCTCTGAGTGATTGGAGTAGCTGTTTGTCCAAGAGTGTAATCTGCAAACGGTTAAGGGCAGATGCACAGCGTGAGGAGAAAAGTCTGTTGCAATAATCAATGCAGCACAAGATAAAGAACAATATCTAGACAGCCGCTTAAGATGGCTGAAGTGCCTAGATTTCTTAGCTGATGATGGTAGACGTTCTTGCCAATATGCAACTGTTCCTAAATAAAAGTTGCTATGAATGAGCAACACCATTCAAGCAGTCTTGTGATTGTGTTATTTATGTGGATCCACTAATTCATGAACTGCTTCAGACATTTTAGCCTCAGTAGGAAGTAGGTCTTCTCTTTCCTACCAAAGAAGAAGGGTGTGATGCACGTCTTTAATCCCCGGTGAAGAGCAGGGTCACACATGCAGATCAGGTAACGCGTAGCGCTCCATTAACACCCACAGCTACATGGACAAGATCCCAAGATCACAAGAGAATCTTTCCAATGTCATACCGAACTCATCAGGTCAGGTGAGAGGATTAGCCGCGTGATGGGAACAAGAGGTTGATCAGACTGTGGGATAAGTTAAAGGCTAGCGCCCCCCCCACCCCCCACGCGCACACACACACGCACACACCTGTTCCCCCATCTCCACCTTAAGGGTCCTGTGGCCAGAAATATCACCACGTAGCACATGCTGGGCTTGATTTACCTCCACAGGGCACATCGTTAACAACACGTCCTGGTCACGAGGCGGACCAATGGGAACGGACGCCTCAGGTAGTGGATGGATCTGAGGCCGCAGTCTATTTTCAGCACGCATAAAGACAACGCTTTCCTTTAGTCATCTGCCACGCGATTTTCGCCGACTAATATAATGCTTCATTTCCTTTTCCGTCCGTCCCTGAGCTGCAGAGCGTAACGCCTCGGAGGGCGAGACGTCAAAGCAGACAGCAGCCAAGGGGGTCAGATTGTGACGCCCTCATCCAAGGACTCGCTGTTCTTCTTCTGGGCTCAACTCGTGCATGTTTTTATCTCCACTGTCAGCTGTGCTAAATCATGCGCAGGCCTGCGTGAAGCGATTAACAGACAGATTAATATCCAGCACGTATCAGAGGGGCACAGTGCTGCTTGCACTTAAGTGCATACTTTCTGAAAACTTGTCGCCCAGTTTGAGCTTGTTGTTTATCAGCCGGTCGCCTCTGGGCGTCACGCAAGAACCGCTCACACGGACACGTTTGGTTATTCAGAGAGGTTCATGATGAGAATCCCAAAGTGCATGAGTCTCATCGACTTTCTGAGCTTTGGTTCGTGTTTGGTTTTGTCATTGGTTGTGTTATGTGCCAAACAAAGGCAGAGGGCTTTATTAGAGGGCTGCAAATACGACTGCGCGATAATTCAATGAGAGGATTCATCGTCTTTTAGTGTAATCCTATCTTGACACACGATAGCATCGTCTTAATGGATTATATCCAGCACATACTTCAATGCCGTTTTGCGTCGGACGTGTCCCCTATTTACATTCCGTGCAATCCGTGGTGACAACAATTTTATTTTACTTAACAAACCGGTTTGTCAGTAAGTTCGTGCTTCATTGAGACCTTTTGAGATGAACTCTGGACTCTCAAGCACTCAGACGCTCAACAGACGGGTTACATGTGATGCTTGTCACTGCTCGCCAAACTATTCAGCCCGCCTTCCCGCTCAACCAAACAAGTTGCACAGGCCCCTCTAGGCCTGTGTGTGTGTGTGTGTGTGTGTGTGTGTGTCTCTCTGTTTGTCTCTCCTCACCGCTGCCCGTCTCCTCCCCGCAGGGCGGCAACAACGCGGGACACACGGTGGTGGTGGACTCGGTGGAATACGACTTTCACCTCCTCCCCAGCGGCATCATCAACCCCAATGTCACCGCCTTCATCGGTGTGTACCTCCCAAAGTCTGAGAAACCGTTTTCATCATTTCACACTTGACACACACGCACACACATTTACCGTTGGCTCATGCGCAATGGCGCTGACGCTCGTTCCAAGGAATTCTTCCCTCGCTGTTCACTTGATGGATTCATCGAGCCTCCTTTATGGTCAGGACTCCATTTTGCCGACTGCTTGACTCGGAGCCACTCTGCATCCCATCTACCCGTCTGCAGTAACTTCATTAGCTAATGGTACATACCTTTTTCTTTCTGGCCTCCACATCGGCACTTTTGCCCCGCAGCGGTGTGGTCAGCTGATGCTTAATCACATCTATGCTTTTACCCCTTTGATAGAGTTTCAGAGCTGGCCGCACCCGCCCACGGTAGAGCAATGGGACAAATGTTACAAAGAACTGACATTGTGTATCTTTTTCTTTTTTTGTCCTTCTTAACCACTAACATCAGTAGTAGTCACGGTGTGCAACATTTTGCCGACAATACTCTTGCAAGGTTAAAACCCAAAGAGCTCATCTGTACTATAATGTCCTGTTCTCTCAGCTAATTGAAACTCTGCGGCCTGAAGAGGGCCCGTCGATGTGTTGTGACCATCGTCGTTTTCCTCTCGCTGCAGTAAAAGCTGTGCGTGTGATTTTTATGGATCTTTAGTCAGTCCACTTTTCCATAACTTTGTCCCTGACTGAATTATCGAGCAGCAGGATCGCCGACCATTTTGCTTCAGGCATTTGTAGTCTCCAGATGCTGCACTGTGAGGATTTAATGGATCGCCTGGCATTTGGCCAGGACCACCATGAGCTGCATGTTCTTCATCCAAACGTTAACCTTGAATAAAGCTTTTACTGCTCTGCTAATCACTTATTGTTACATCTCTTCATTTTGCACAGACAATCTACATTTAAAGGTAAACATTTTGTGTCATTGGTGTTGCTGTGTCTCACAGTTGCACAGAAGGACACACAAACATTGATAATTCATAGTTGTTTCATTGTCCCGGAGGGGAAAACATGTTGCTGCTTATTATGCCGACTTTCTCATCTTCCTGTGTAATTAAACTAATTCATTGTAATTAAAAGCACATTCATGGCCTCCAGCAGTCGGAGGAAATCTGTATTCAGGTCTTTTATTCTCCCTGAGCTGCAAATACTTCTATCTCTCACATTTATTCCTATAGTCACTAAAACAGTTTGTTGAGGTTGTTTTATGCCATTTCCCACATTTCTTGCATTTAATTTGGTAGAAGTAATTCCCAAACGTCCTTCAGTTAATCCTACCCAATGAAAGCGTCAACCAGGGCTCGCTGTTTGAGTTCTCCTGTGAACGGGCGACGAGCTCTGTGTGAGAAATACATAGTAAGTCACACCTGGGCTGTCGGTTCACAATGACTTGACAATAAAGATGGATCATTAAAGGCCTTTTAGACTGTGTGGCAACAACAATCAGGAACGTTCATTTCACGAAAACACTGTCTGCGAAATGCAGTGCTGGAATCTCCTGTATTAACTCAGGTATTGTACTTCACTTGAGTATTTAATCTTTACATCTAGTTTTTCCAGTTTGGTGAATTGGTCATGAACCGCTTGTATGATCAAAGTCATGATGAGGATAGAAAAGGTTTCATGTTTCTAAAACAACACATCGTTCCCGCAGCAACACGTCCTCTGTAGGAGGACGATGTCATCGTGTTTAAAGAAATGTATGAAGAGAAAAGATCTTCCTCTGATTTTACTTCCATGTAAAAAGTCAAGGAAAGTAACTCATTGATTTTTATGTATTTACCAGTGAGCGTTTCATCATGACTTTAGATGAAGAAGTGTATCCGTGCACACATCTACCAAGCCGTGTCTTGTGGTGGAAATTAACAGCTTTTGCAGCTCAACAGATTCTCCCCCAACACGTCTGACTCATCAGAGACTTTAACCTTAAACATCAGCTGTGCCTCGGGAGTTTGAGGGGGTCGTCCTTTTGTCACAAGTTGTGCGCTTCACCCCCCACCTCCCCCTCTTTGAAGTGTCCTCGAGTAAAGACCAACACGTTTGTCCCATGAGGAAGCAGGTGACTTTTGCTCGTGAAGTTAAACATTTATTTTTTCACCTCAGGCAACGGTGTCGTGATCCATCTGCCAGGCCTGTTTGAAGAGGCGGAGAAGAACGAACGCAAAGGGAAAGGTGAGTTTTAAACACGTATAGTAGAACACAAAGGAAGAACGTGCTTGTACATGTGACGACTCACAAGTATGTGTTCTATCTGTGTGTGTGTGTGTGTGTGTGTGTGTGTGTGTGTGTGTGTGTGTAGGGCTCATTGAGTGGGAGAAGAGGTTGGTCATCTCAGACAGAGCACATATTGGTAAGTTGTGTGTGTGCGTGTGTGTGCGCGTGTATCTGTGTCTGTGTGTGACACAGGGTGGTGTGTGTCCCCTCTCTTCCTCCTCTGCAGTGTTTGACTTCCACCAGGCAGTTGATGGTGTTCAGGAACAGCAGAGACAAGAGCAAGCAGGCAAGAAGTAAGAAACCTGCTGCTTAAAAAAAAAAAATAGCCACATATACATCATCTTAATAAAGATCAAAGTAGAAGTCAAATGTTCTTTTTATTATTTTGGGCATCATATCATTTTCTCTTTCCTTGTGTGAAGATGTGTCTTTTGACGTTGATGCACAAGCATTTAATCTCTCCTGGAGGCCTCCTCAGGGAGGTCAGGCGGACAGAGGGTGGAGCAGCAGGTGGCGTTTATGAACAGTGTGTCAGAGAGGAGCGGTGCTCCGTCGGCTTTCTGTTGGAGGCCATACTTTTAGTCTCTATTGTTACTTTTAGTCTCTACTATTTCTGTAGTTAATCCAAGTATTCATATTCTTTTTCACATCATTCTGAAACGATCCTATCAGAGAACCGCACCTACGTATGTGGGGAATGTTGAGCCGAGTCTGGAACATTATTCACAATACGAAGCTCAAAAGAGATTGTGCGTGCGTGCATGTGTGATGAATGACATGATTAAAAAAAGAAGGTTGTAGAAGTCGCATGCTGACGATATCTCTGTCCCCGCCCCCTTCCCGTCTCTCTTGGTCCCGTGCAGCCTGGGGACAACAAAGAAGGGGATCGGTCCTGTGTACTCAGCCAAAGCAGCGCGCAGCGGCCTCAGGATATGTGACCTGTTGGCTGACTTCACTCAGTTCTCTGAAAGGTCTGTGCCAGTATAGCACGGGATTATGTTCCCTATCGGCCTCCAGGTTACAAAGCAGTTCAAACGCTTGCATGTTTTCTACAAATGTTGACTCAGACTTTTTTTTTTTTTTACGGGTTAATTGCAACTGAATACTTGTTGCAGGTATAAAAGTTTGGCCCAGCAGTACAAGGCCATGTACCCCACTCTGGAGATTGACACCGAAGGAGAGCTTGACCGGCTAAAGGTAGTTCAGGTTCAAAACAAAAAACAAAACCCCCTACAAACAGGAGTGTTGTCCTCTGTGCAGTAACATGCTGTGTGATTTCAGGACTACGGGCAGCGGATCAAGCCCATGGTGAAAGACGGCGTGCACTTCATGCACGAGGCTCTTCACGGCCCTCCGAAGAAGATCCTGGTCGAAGGCGCCAACGCCGCTCTGCTGGACATCGACTTCGGTCAGTACATCACAATTAAGCCTCTTCTACGTCTGTGTATTGTCCCGTTATCCTTTTGAAAAGACGTCTTCGTGCTCACCCTCGCCTATGAGACATACATGTTCTTTCTAATTGCCAAGCGCAGTCCGGTGCCTCTGCCAAAGAGCACTAAGGCAGAAGACATGCGGAATGACGAACGCACGAGCTGCTGGACTGGTTCTTCTGTGGTTACACAACATGTGGGAAGCTCCCAGTATCAAGAGGACGGGAAACGCGAATCCTTGATTGCTTTCAGCACAGAGCAGTGAGACGGTTTCCTGAGGGCGCCATTATTTGAATCTGCGTCGCGCCTGTGAGTTTTAAAGAGTTGGGCGATTATTCAATGTGATCATTTTATGAATGTCATCTGAGTCCAAGCACGGACCAACCCGTGAAGCAAACCAAACAAACGTAACCAAACATCGTGATTTGAATATTCGCCCTCCGGTAGTTTTCATCAGTCAATGTTCAGGCAGGCAGCTCCACTATCACGATCTGTCATCACTCTGTGGCCAGTTGGCTCAGCCTGCAGAATGCTGTCGTTGCAGGGACGTATCCTTTCGTGACCTCGTCTAACTGCACGGTGGGCGGGGTGTGCACGGGCCTCGGGATGCCGCCTCAAAACGTGGGGAACGTTTACGGGGTGGTGAAGGCGTACACCACCAGGGTCGGCATCGGGGCCTTCCCCTCAGAGCAGAGCAACGTAAGAGGACACACACGGGGACTCATAACCACCGATACTTTACTACATAGACGGATAGTTTATCACAGGGAAAGTGGTGGATAACGCAGATCTCTTAAATCTGCAAACTCACACATACTGATTTTGTGGGAAAGTGTTCATCCACTCTTAACGTGTTTTGTGTGAAATATTTTTGATGGTTTTCCGGTTGGTATAAAGTACGAGACACTGTTACTGTGATGACTAAAACACGACCATCACTCATAGAACGAGAGGAGGCGCTTTAATCATTTACTGAAAAACCAATAAAGCTGACTGACTGTCTGCGCTCGTCTTCAGGAGGTCGGAGAGCTGCTCCAGACCCGAGGGAAGGAGGTGGGCGTGACCACGGGCAGGAAGAGGCGATGCGGTTGGCTGGATCTGGTGCTCCTCAAATATGCACACATGATTAACGGCTTCACCGCGTGAGTTTTTGTACTTGTTTAGTTTTACGCTACGGTAAAGTTTACCTCGAGTGTTTATGGAGTCGGCATTTAGTAGAATAGGTCGGCCTTTCAGAGTGAGTTATGCAACCTGTTCTAACCTGTGACCCCCAGATTAGCGCTCACCAAGCTGGACATACTCGACGTGCTGCCCGAGATCAAAGTGGGCACATCGTACAAAGTCGACGGCAAAACTATACCTCATTTTCCAGGTAAGCCGCCGCACGAAAGAGTACTATCAATTAGTATTATTATCAATATATTCCAGCTCACCTTCTTTCCAATGCTCAGGATTCAGGTAGACGGGATTGTTTAACAACTGGGATCTCAATTTAAAGACAACCAAACCTAACAAAGCGTGTGTCCCAAATGTGAATCGATGTCTTAAGACAGAGACGTTTTCCTGTGATGCATCTCTAACTCTCGCTTCCTCTTCTTCCAGTCTTCACTGTTATTTATAGAGAGTAAACATATTGATCTGTTGTCGTAGCTGATTGTGGTCTCCTGTAAAACTGATGGTGTGATATCCCCCCTCACACGCTCTTCTCATTGATTCTGTGCCAGCCAATCAGGAGGTGCTGCAGCATGTGGAGGTCCAGTATGAGACGCTGCCCGGCTGGAAGAGCGACACCTCAGCTGCGAGAAGCTTTGAGGAGCTGCCGGAGAACGCTCGGAATTATGTCCGCTACATCGAGGAGCAAGTGGGAGTGCCAGGTACACACACACACACACACACACACACACATTGATACACCTTTACAGATTTACATTATGATTTTTGCACACTGCTTGTCGGATGCTTCAGTGCTGTGGTTATGTATCTGGCGTGCAACAGTTCAGGCTGAGGGTGAATATCAAGAGCGCCATCTGGTGGCTACAAATGCTCTGCTGTCACTTTTACAAATCATACATTTGTTGACTGCCCTGATTTAATACGACGTGCTGCTCGTTCCTCACCTCTGCTTCTCTGTTCCCTCAGTCAAGTGGATCGGAGTGGGCAAGTCTCGGGAGTCCATAATCCAGATGTTCTAGACGAAGGGAGGACCACGGCGAGCAAAGAGGATGCACATCAGCGGCTCAACCCCCCCAACCCGCCCGCTTCCTACACACACACACACACACACACACACACACAGCCTACCTACCTGGTCATGCCATGTCTGCTCTCAATGCTTTAACACTGAATCTTCAGACTGCGTCTCCAAATCAGACTCCCTCTGCATCGGGATTTTAAAACTTCATCGCAGCCTTTTATTCCTGCCGCCCGTCGGGCCTGAAGGCGGACCGGAGGGAAACTGACTCAACACGCACACAAACGCACACACGGAGGAACTGTCCACCGACGTTTGGTCGGTCAAACTGTTCGAGTGTGTTTTATCTTAATGGATGCGCTGTGCCAGTCTGGTGTAGATCAGTTTTAACCGCCGCAATTTAAATGCTTTGGACTACCTGCTTTATGTTTCATTCTGCCAGGTGTACAACAACCTGACGCGATAAAGGGATCTTTTTAATATTTTTCATGTGTTATTGTCTTCTGGTGTGTGTGTGTCACCAGACTCCTCGTCGTTCAGCCAAAAGATTTGCTTTCTTGTAGCTAGCGACTGTTTCCACTGAGCGCTGTTGAAGTGTTGACACACATCCTCCCGTACTGTGAGACGACACACATCCTGAGACAGCTTGTTTTTTGTTGTTGTTATTTTTTTGGTTTATTTTAGGAGGTGAGTTTTCCATGAACATATACAGAAATATAACCGGTACAACTAATCAAATGTCAGCTGACATACTTCATAATAATAATAATCATGTGATTATTTATTTTTTCTTTGCACTTTCAATATCATGTGTGTACAACAAGGCAACAGGAACTTTAAAAAAAATAATGTCAGTTGATGGGTAAATACTGTTTATGGATGTTGATGTTGTCCAGGATTCTGCCTTGGGTCCGATGCAGAAAACCTCCCACTACTATGACTTGGTGGCATCATTTAAAAAGCCTTAATTAGCTAAATTTGTGCTTTTTTTTTTTTTAGCAGTTGTACACATAAACTTTAAAAGTGGCTAAATCAATTATTGTTATTGCAATTATTGATTTGATTTTTGACTGCCAGCAATTGTGGCACAATTATTTAGTAATAATTAGCTGTGGTTTATTCAGGGCCAACATAATATCGTTTTTCATTGTTTTTATGCAATCAGTTTCTTTTTTTGTCTTGATACGGTTTGTTGATATGTGGATTAGGGGGAAGGGTTACTGCGGCCATCTACTATTACGCTCTCACCGATTCGGGGCCAGAGGCCGTTATGTCCAAACATTTATTACTTATGGCTCAAGCTACTTAAATAATGGACACTACATTTAATTATAAAAAAAAAAAAAGACTTCTACTTCACTTAAAACACAGAACATTGACGGCCTTAAGTTGACTGTCTTTAGGTTTGTGAGACTAAAACTGACTTTGATAGTGCACATGAATGTGGCGTTAGACAGAAGACATGCCGCTGCCTCCTGGAGATTAACTGAAGTTAAATTAAAAAAAAAAAACCTTTTTGTGGAATAAATGTCAGATGTTTGCACACAGCTGTCGTGCCAAGTTTAATTAAAGAAAGATATTTTGAGGAAGCAGCTAAATCATCACACATTTGATTGTTTTTTGTTTTCATTCTAACACACAGTTGGGAATAAACGTGATGACTCGTATGGGTGTGATGGTGGAGGTTTCTCCTTTCAGTATTTTGAAAGAAGTCAGTCGATTTAGTCAAATCATTGATTGATAACTGGGATAAAAGTCGTCTCTGTTGAGCTACTCGGTCTGACGCATTCTTCTCAGGATATTGATTGAAAGTGTTTTAACTCTATGCTGTTTTTCTCTTGAGCTTGTGTGTAATTGCTGAAACCAGTGGGACAGAACGCCATGTACGCTCTCAGCAACCTTTAAAGTTAAAAGGTTTTCTGAAAGTTTAGCAAAGCTGCTCCTGCTGGTAAAGAAGTCACAGACTTACATGATGAATGCTTCTCCGCTCAGCAGTATGGTTGCTGTGACCTTGTCTGTAGCAGTATGTTCTCTCTCTGATGTGTTATAATGAACATTTATCCCTTTAAGCGCTCACACTGCCAACTTTTCACTGAATCGTCTTTACAACCTGAAGATCTGTGTCCTTATCTGCCTTCTATACTTTTGCATTTGGAACCTTTCTTTTAGTCCCTCATTGTTCAGCCCATTTTAATTTGAAAGGCAGACTTCAATCTTGACATCAGGTTTCAACTAAATGAATGTTTTAGTCTTTATACGCACCATATTCACACAGAATTCCTCAACGGGTAAATTATCATGTTAACTCTTCTGTTTCAATGCCGTGACATGCAGTTATTGCCTTTCTTGTTTTGTCAGTCAAGTCATTTTCATGTTGGAAAAAAAAACTTCACATTTCCTGACAATGTATCCTGACCAGATATTTTGTGTCTTTGGAAGCTTTGGGATTACCACTTGAATTTGAAATAAAGCTCTGTGGTTTTGAACAACGTTTGGCTGCACAGTACGAGTTTGTCAAACGGGTGGAGATTCATTTTGAACAGGCTCACGTTCGCTTTTATTGAGTTGGACCTCAGAGTACCTCAGAGTCCACCCTTCTTCACTTCGCTCTGGATTAAAACGAGGACAGGAGGGTCTCCTGTTCCCCCTAAAACCCACATACATTAAAAACCAGAATGGAGACATTGACGTGCATGTTTTATTTAACTAGTGTTTAAATCTCATAATCGTGTCACACATATGGAGACTAGTTTTCTTCCTGAGCACCAGAGGGAGCCGTTTCCCCACAAATGAATGCTGGACAAGAGTTCTCTCCTCAGGAATCTTTAACGGAAGATCGATAGAAACCTGAAGTAACCTGCACAGAGAAGGTAAAGATTTTTTAATATGAATGCAATGAGAGGCCCGACAAACCCAGCTGGAATCCCCCCCCCCCCTCTTGGTTAGTGTTTGCTATTAAAACCGTGACTGCTGTTTGGCTTCGACCACAGCCTCACCTGCAGCTCATTTCCCTGCCGTCACCGAGCTTCCTGTCCTCATTTGACTGCATCCGAGTGCTGCAGCAACCTCTCAAACCCCAACGAACACAAAAGGATCTTCTGCCCTCAGAACCAGCCGAGCACAAGACCCCCCTCGCCCCGTGTGTCCCTGAACTGGACATCCACCGCCCAGTCTACCAAATGACCCGGCTGTCCACGGTGAGGTCGTCCTATTGAAACGACGCACTGAGTCACCTTGAAGCGCGCACGCGCACAAGCACACAGGTGGCACCTGGCGTGGCGCCCGGCCTTCCTCTGGACTGTGCGACCGTGCTGAAGAGAGGCCGGGCGGGCGCCGCGATTTTCGGGTCGGGCTGATTCTGTGACCATCCGCCCCTCCTTCCCCTATTACCCCTCAAACATCTATCTGCCCCCCCCCCTCCCCCACCCTGCTTGTACCGCTCATTCAAATCCTCTCAACCTCTGCACCCCAACAGCCAACCCCTTCATCCTTTCTATGCACGGCTCCCCCTCCTCCCTCCTTCATTTGAATTCCACAGTGAGGCCTCTTTGTCCAATGGCTGCCGCTGCATTGTGCTGCAAAGGGAAGCAGAGTAAATGGACAAGCAAATGAGTTTTCTCCTTCAGCCAAAACTCTCTCACACACACACACACACACACACACACACACAAACTCGCTCTCCACCTTCATGCAACTACACACAAACCAACACGCGGGAGACACATGCGTCCATTCAGGAAGCTTCTTGCTGTTAAAACATTTTCTTGGGTTGAACTTCTTTCCTCTGGGTGTCCGTGACCTTTTGACCATGAAATGAAAGGCCTCTAAATAAGAAAGGGAAATGCCCTGAGTGTTAACGTGTCAACATGTCCGTCATGTCCCTCATTAATATCTAAGCTCTGCTGCTGCAAAGACAGCTTTTTAATATGATTATTCCAGGAAATGGGTCTACCTGCATTATTAGGTTTTCTTTTGGTACATATTATCACCTTGAGATTAGGAATTAAGGTGGTATGGTAATTATGAAAGCAAATAATGACCTCATTTGCACACTCAGCAGACCTGGAGCAACATAAGCATTTATGGCAATTAGAGTGAACCAAAAACAGGGACGTTTTGAGCCGTACCACCAAAGCAATGAGCTAAAAGGCCCTGGAGCTCCGTAGGCACGTCGCTACGACTGAGACCGTTCACATAAAAATGGTATAATCAGCGTTCAATCTAATCTAACCCTAACCCTGAATAAAATATAGACTAGTGCAACTTTAATCATTCAGGAAGGTCTCGGTGTGATTTAACATCTTCGTCAGGTACATAGAAAGTAGCAACATCATATTAGAATCACATTAGAGAAATGTAACATCTGGCAGCTTAGAGACAATCTCAGAGTAGTTTAAAACCATGTGTTGAAATGAAAAAATCATTCTGTGAATAGACAAAAATAAATGTTGGTCACGGCAACCCTCAGTAGATTCACAGTAGTAACAATAATATGCTGATTTACTTCAAAATGCCGACACTGCAAATGTTTAATATGTTAATTAGTGAGCTTTACGTTTCGTTATATCCGGCTAGCTTTGTCCAATGTAGCACAGTGGTATCTGTCTTTGCACCTCAAACTATCTATACAAGCAGATATAACATAGTTCAAGCTGTCTGGGATCAAAGGTGCAAAATACTAGTGCTGAAAAATGCACCTGTCCAGGTCAACAAAGCGAGGAGAAGCTCCGTTAACGACACATAACTTCCGTCTCTGCTCAGGTAGACGTTACTCTTCCATATCTTTCGACTGGTTGTTTGCTGCTGTATCGATGCTCTGAATGTTCACAGCGCCCGCAGGTGGAAATATTGATTCCATGAGGTTTACCTCAAACTCCTGTTCACTCCTCTCGGTTGACAAGATCTGACCTTTGTGCAGAGGTCAAAAGGCTAGAAGCAGTTAGGTCACACCGGTGCGTTTTTTTATCGAGTCGGACAACATTCTCACATTTAAAAGAGACGTTCTACCCCGAAGCAAGTTGGAAATACATGTTATAGTATCTCTAACTTTTGCCCCAGGTCACAACTCCTGCAAAATAAATAGATCTAGAGAATAAAAAGATCTCCATTTTTTCCCCAAATGGAATTCAGCACTGTCCTCATCCCCCATGTGATAGCAAGCACTACCAAAACCACTGACCAGGGTGCTTCTCACTCAGATAATCCTGAGTGCTTTGGGGGGGGTTTGACCGTCACGCACCACTGCCACGGTGCTCTTGAGCAACCCGCAGACTCTCGTCCTGCTGCTGACCCTTGACCGTAACCTCTCTGTGGAATGCGCGGCTGTAAAAAGCCTGTAAAGTAGCTTTAAGTAGCTCAATATCACCCATATATTGACCCTCCTTCACCTGCTTCTTCAATTCTTCTCTCGTCCTCCTTCCAGCCTCCACCCCCCCCCCCTCCCCCTCCCTCCCCCACCTCTCCTGAACTCTGGCCGCTCTGTAAAAAAGACCCCAAACGCAGCAGATGTGTGTCGGCCGACGCCGTTAACAGCTGTCGGCTCTTGTGTCAGCTCCTGTTTTACCCCCCACGCCAAGCCGCAGCGCGCGCTGCACACGGCCGTCACCAGCAGTCGTGCTCCCTATTAAGGTGTATTGGTTACATGTGGTCATAGCAGTGACCTTTCAAAACGAACGATTACTCCAGTGTGTAATAATATCGATCGATCCCTGTTGATTCGTCAGTTATATGATCTATTATTTATGTGTTGCATTCTGGTTGTCAAGTCATTGTTCTCATAATTGTACAAGTTCCCCTTCAGGCAAGAAGACGACCTTTTCTGACATGCACGATTGTTCAGGTGTGTGTGCGTCTCTGAAGTTCTCCTTTCTTTAGTTCACTCTTCTCTCAGCACCACTGTAGATGCATTTGTGGAGGGACTTTCCCAACGTTATCTCCACTTCTTCTCTGCAACGGCAGTGGGAACCACCGGGGTAAACACTCGGAAATGTCTCCGAAGGACACTAACAAGGTTGTTCCAGCGCCGGCCTGAACTCCACTTTATCTAACCTCATTGTTCCTCTCTGGCTCAGCATCTGGCCGCAGTCCAAGGCCTCGCTGTCCGTCTCTGGCAGCTCCGTCCCTCGCCTGTTGCCCCCCGCGGCTCCCCTTCCCCTCAGCTGAAAGCACACTCATGTCCCGGGTCCCGTGGACCCTTCTCCCGATCCCGGGCCTGTAAGCTCCCGACCCTCGTCCCCCCCCGACCTCCAACCCCTCCCCTACCCCCCCATCCCCCCGGGGTCCCAGCCTCTGGCCCCCGAGCTCTTACCTTCTCCCCGTCCCAGCTGCCGCCGCCTTCCCGGCAGTCCGGCCCAGCATGAGAAGCCGAGCAGCTGTTGATCGATGGGCAGCCGGGGCCAACGCCTGCCTGCCCCCTCCCCTGACCTCCTACCCTTACACGCACACACACACGCACACACAGACAGACACGCACACAGATGCACGCACACACTCCCCAGGGAGGCAACAGATGGGGGTCAGCCAGAGGAAAGGGGCGTGGTGGGCTACAAAGGGCTGGGTTAGGTGTGCGGTTGTGTGCGTCTGGGTTTCTATCTGTTTGTCACATATCTTATTCCACAATTAGACGGACGGGTCCAGGCATGTTTTCTGCATGTGCGTGTGTGTGTGTGTGTGTGTGTGTGTGTGTTTGAGGGGCTGTGGGTGGACATTTGCTCGCCGCGTGTCTCCAGTATGGACAGGTGTTGGCGTCAGCAGTGTCCAGACTCGTTTCGGCAGCTGCTGCCACCCCTCTTCTCCCCCGGTTCTCTCCTCTCATCCCTCCCTCCCTCCCTCCCCCCCTGACAGATGTAGCCACACTACCACCACCTCTCGGCTTTTTATGGGCCCGGCCTGTTTTGACTTTAAATATTTGCCCAGGAGGCGCATGTTGTGGGGGGGGGGGTGGATTGGAGAAGAAGAGCAGGAAGAGGCAGATAATCTAGACTACTTGATCTGTGAATATGTTCATCCGTGGTCCCTTGTTCATGTATGCACACACACACACACCTGTCCTATCCCGTACCAGGGTAAAAGCCTCTTTAGGCAAACTAACAGCTAACATGTGGAATGAAAACAGTTCACCAAGTGAACTGTGACCCCCGAGGCCGAGGATCAGCTGTCCACTGGAACAACACCAGCGGGGGACAGCTGAGAACAAATGGACCTTCAGAGAAATGGGATTTTCTTTTGGCACCTCTAATATTTGTCACCTGTAGAAACACAACGGCTCTAACAGTTTCAAATGATCGTCCAAAGTCCACTGGTTTCGGTGCGTGTTGATAACGGGACGTTAAGATGAGATGTTTCATATCTGAGTTGTCTCAAGCAACATTAGTCAACGTTTTACAATGAGCACCTTTGTTTTGGTTTTCATGGCCTGAAATGTCACCGTTCTGGTTCATTTTCACTGTTTTCACTATTGTTTTCAGAAAAAACCCCACAGAGCCCCACTG